TTACAATGTAGCACACAGCGCCCTTCTGCAAAAATTTTTCAACATTTTTGGTTTTCATAATTATCTGGTTAAATTTTTAAAATCATATTTGTATACGAGACCACAACGAATTATTACTCCATTCACTTTATTTATTAATGATTTGGTTGCTTTACTTTGGGATTCAGGATTAATTTTGTATGCTGATGATTTAGAACTTTATGTTATAATTAAAAATTACATTCACTTCTCACATTCTTATTACCGGGTTATACCGTTTGACGACATATTGCCGCCGTCTCAACAATCGGACGGGATTTTATCCCAATAGAAGTTTTTACCGCTCAACATATTTTTCCAATATCGGCTGTCGAAGTTTCTTTAGAAAACATTTTACTTGCACTTCCGCGCAGATTAGAATCGCAATATTTCAATGAAGCGAAAAATTTCATTTCGTACGGTATAGAAGGGTTCATCAATATTCCGGAACGATTTGCCTCTTATCTGAATGTAGCCCCGAACGGGCTTTGATAAAGACGGTGTAAAACGGGTTGCCAATAAAACGAAATTTAATTAGTGACGACGTCATATTAAATAATTGCACGGTTGAGAACGCTTGTCCCTAAAGCAAAGTAGATGGCTGTGACATTTAGACAGTGAACTCGATTTAAACTGGAATGACAACCTCGTGATAGAAAAGTCAGGCAAAGTTTATCCTAGAAAAAGTAATAGGCATTGTTGTGTTGTTCTTGCCAATTTGTTAAAATGTTCCCAACAATATTTTTCAATAAATTCATAAAAAATAAAATTTATAATAATGAAAGCTCTTAAAAAATCTCAGAAAAAAATTACATATTTGGAAATTTAAAATTAGATTTATTGGTCAGAAAATGAAGTATGTATTTTTACATTACATTATAAGGTATGGACCTTTTTTACTTAAATATATACATTTCTAGACTATTTATTTAAAAAAGTTGTAGTATCATAAAATGGCAAATTTCGTAAGGTTCCGCTTAATTTTGGTGTTGACCATAGGCATAGATAGGTAAGTATTTGCTGTTAAGTGTTCTCAATATTATAAGATTTTAACATCATCGACATCTTGAAGAAAAACAAGTAAGTATCGACTGGTTAGCAATCAATCATATCGAATTTGAAGATAATTTGAACTACTAGATGTTGCCAAATTTCACACAAATATTGTTTTCTTTTTAGTACATTATAATATGGAAATAGTTTATTTATATTATTGACTGTACATACGTTATTTTTGTAATAATTCGTCGAGTTATTATATACATTATAACATCGCTGTAACCATATATAATTGCAACCAGCAGCAAACTAATAGTGAAATAAATATAGCACAGAAGAAAAAAAATAAAATAAAAAAATAATAAACTATTGAAATTATTTCACAAAGAAAATACAAACAATTACGAAAATTAAGAAATATTAACGTGTATGGCAGAAAAGCCAATTCCGATTACTCCCTGTAAATAAAATTTGCCTTTCAAAATCGATATTGGTTGCAATACTGGCGACCATTCCATTTTAGATCGAGTTCACTAAATTTAGAGTTTGTCCAGCTCCGTTATAGGAAATTTTATTGTAATCCGACTCTACGGTTGCAAACATCTTTTTGGTTTTTATCCTTAAAGGGAATTAAAAGTTGATTATTACTCTTCGGTAATCCTCGAGTTTACAAGAGCAAAAAAAAACTCTTCTAGAACTTGAAAGGTAGGGGAGAAAAATAATAAATGAGGACGAGAACGATACATTGCAACAATATACTTCAACATAACTTAACAATATTCTTAATACAAAAATTGTGCTATATGACCAGTTTCAATGGAAATAATAATGTAACTTCAGTACCAAAGTGGTTTTTTTCGAATAATCCAAGGTGACGGATCGATAAAAATAATTTAAATGTCACATTTTATTTTACTAGAAAAATTTCCGAATTTTCGCTAAAAAAAATGTTCTCAGTTAATTAGTTTAATACAAAAATTATTTAAATTCAGGCCCTGCGAAGAGTTAAAGGAGTCACAAAAACGGACAGAAGAAATAAGAAAGAACTTTGAAGTACAATCCACACTGGAGTACATGGAAACAAGACAATTGAGCTGGTGGGGACATCTAGAGAGGTTGTAAACCAGAAGACACGTTAAATAGGCAGAAAAAAAAACGTGGAAGACCAAGACAAACATGGGCCGGCCGTATTGCTGAGATTTTGCATAAAAGATGCAAAATAAAAATATAATAATAAAAAACTAACTAACCAATATGTAAAGTTTTTCGCAAATTTATAAAAATAAATTTGAACGTTAGTTCAAAGAAAAAACTTTTCATTATTTATATAAAAAGCTGCATATCTTATTCTTGTCCATATCTTTCATTGCAATATCAAGTTATCGATGTGTGTCGTGAGTTTTTTTTTTGACTTTTCCAGAGAGTTCTCTATAGTTGTTGTTCCCTTTGTTCCTAGCATCTGAGGCTTGTTCTAAGAGGACCCAATGCGCCACGAGCATTGAGATCCTCATGTTTCAAGGCACACTCTGACATATTTTCCGAACCTAGTGGCGGCCGGTCTTTTAACATTTTTTAGGAGACTTATGACCTCAATAACAGACAAAAATAATGCAAATTTAAGATGATACACAATATTTTGAAAAACTTGTTATTTAACGCATGTTAATTCACAATTTGAAATAGCAAACTTAATTAAGAAATACAAAAAGTATGTTTTTCTAGTCCCGCCTGTAAAATACCTAATTATCCACCGATCTAGCGTGCGGCAAGCGTCACTTTACCCTGTCAGTTTCGTTTCCCATGAATGCGAGCCACTTCGGACATTTCCGGGATTTTACCGCACGGATTTGGGAGCATTCGGATGTTTTCGGAGATATTTCCCACGCTTTTTCCATCTGTCACCTTCAAATTACTATGACACTCATAGTATAAAAGTATAATTCCTTTACCTTAATAAATATGTATTCGTGTTTTGCGAAAATGTACCCAAAAACTAACGGTCGTAGAAAAAGTATAGTATGCAACACGTTCGGTAAACTTTTTAACTCACTCGTTTATTAAAAACTCGCTCAGCTGCGCTCCGCTTGTGTCGAATAAACTCGTGAGTCGAATACCGTTTACCACACTTGTTGAATAATATACTAATATCTTGGAAAAAAGGTTATCACTATTTTTAACAAACTTCAACTTCTTGGTATCAATTTGTTCTTAAAAATATCTGATTTTTTAAAAATTCGTCTATGTCTAGAAAGTTACTGTCCCGAACCATTGTGTATCTACCAGTGTGGACAGTTTTTTGAATGAGTCAAAAAGGAGGAAGCTGCAAAATTTGGCGTCACATGCTACTTTTTCTATCTATTTTAGTAAACAATCCTTTCTATTTTTGCAACAGCTGTAATAACCGAGTTTGTGGAGAAAAGGTATATTTTTCTCCGAATTATTTTTTCTAGGTACTTTCCTGATTGAACTATCAAATCGATATTGCATTTTTGAAAAAACAATTCAAGAAAATTTAAATCATTACCTTATTATTCTAGTTTCTTACGGAACTTTCAACAAATCGACAAACCCATTATCAACCATAAAATTTCGAATCTTACCGTGACGAATAGAACGGTGCTTACCCGGGATGAAGTGATTTTCCTTTTTATTGGCAATAAAACCAAACGTTTATAACCTAATCTTAATGGCCCGAGAATAGTAACATTTCGGTTTAGTTTTATTCTTACATTTGACATAAATTTTACAAGCCAATTCGTCACCTAGCTGCAGTAAACACATTGCACTTCCGGGAAATTACTTTGTCCTTTCCGGATATGCGTATTATGACCCCCATAAATCTCCGGAACGATTTATCAGAGTACTCAAGGTGGTAACGTGAGGTTAAGTCTTTGTGTTCGCAAATTCGCAAGAAATGCAAAAGATGTAAGTACTGACTTTAAAGGATAATACAAACCTAATTAATTAATTAACTAACCTAACCTGAACCTAAACTTAGTTTTTAAAATTCTAATAATTAAAGCAAAATATCAATTTATCCCAAAAATTATGTGAATTTATCCAATTGGTTATTGTTCCTTCCATTTTTCTTCGTAAATTAATTTTGTATAGGTGTTTTATTTGGATACATACTTTCATTTTGCAACTGGACCTTTTTTTGCCTGTTTGACTCCATTTAACGCAAAAAATTTATTTATTGACGTGCATAAAATTAACGTATGTCAATAATGTCATTTATTTGCCTAGGAATACTCACTTTTCAGCCAATTTTGGATTTTTTTGACAAAAAAGTCTGCTATTAAGTATTTTATGATTTTTTGATTAAGATTTTTATGAAGTATTTTGGTATCCATTTATAAATGTTGTAATTTTTACAAATAGCCCAATTCTCCATATCGAATCAAATTGTTCTAATGTAGCAGTTCATTTTCATTACTTCACCATCCTCCGGCCTGCAGATCAGACTGCTTTTATCGAGAGATGGCAGCACAATTTAGGTTAGGGGACATACATCAATTATATGTGTCAAATTAAAACGAGTTTCGATTTTAGTAATTTTGAATGAACCAAGGGAACCCAAGGAACGACCGAAAGGAAAAAACACACACATACACAAAACAAATTTAAAATCATCTTTTTTGTTACTAATATTCCGAAAGTAAGAGGAATTTTAAAATTTTCGAAATGGCCTCTTGATACGCACCGAGAAAATAACTAAGTACAGCCTGAATCATTCGAATTTGTATTGTAAGTATCGAAAATTATTTTGTGTTAGCTTTAAGGAAGCTACCTAAAACTTCGTAATTTTGAGAAAGTATTACCAAAAGTAAAAGCAAACTGAGCTATAATAAATACGAAGAACGTTACTAAAGGATACGAATAACAGACCAGCTCCTCGAAAACGGAGGAAAGAATTTTGTAACATACCCCACTAATTTATTCTTTCCGTTTTCAATGTTTAATGGCCGATCGTTTTGTTTCAGGGAGTTGAAGGCCACTTGTACAGAAGCTTTATCGGGCAAAAAACTAACACAAGAAATTGGCGTTGACAAAGTGGACAAATCATTAGTAGCAAATTTCGAAATACTCAACTTAGTTCCTGAGTTCAGCTTTAGTAACAGATCTGATACAGGTAAGTGTGCTTAATCCTAAAAAAGAAAAGTCAGTGACTCGCAGTTCTTTTTATCAAAATGGTTTTGTTTTAACATCACGCGTAAAGTATAGCTGCGTATTTTTAAAAACATATATAAATATTCAAATCGCTATCGCAATCGCTATTCGTCTAGCAGAAGGTGCTCATTCAAGTCCAAACGCGTTAAAGTGGAAACGAGTCGGATTGGTGTCCGGCAGAACGGTGCGTTTGGACACGATAATTTGGCCCGGGGGAGATTTGTCAGTGGCTGCCGTCTCGATTAGAGCAAGGACGGTTTTTAGGGTAGTAACCGCGTTAGCTCCCCCGTTCGTCATGGAAAGCGAATTGGATGAAGATGGACAGTGCCTCAGGGGTAGGTGTGTTAGTTTTTCGATCATTCGTTTTCTTGCAACGGAAACGCTGATTTGAATGAAAACTTCACTATTTCAGCGTTATTTAAATTCATCATGTTCACATTTGTTCGAATAGCTCCAGCAAAACTTCCTCAAGTTCGATAAAGAAAGCACTTTCATGTTCTACGATACTGATGTACAGTTTTGGTTTTAAAATTTTAAGAAAAATTTTTCCATTCTTCCAAATTAAAACTATGGAATGATTCGATTCTTGCAGACAAATATAGTTTGGTTAATAAAAAATAGCCTGATAAATCAAATAAACAAATCAATAAACAAATAAACAAACAGAAACGAAGATCTATTACAGCGTCAATCATTTTCATTTTCTGAGGTTATAGATGATGCTTTACTTAAAGCAGTAATATCTTTGAAATCTAATGCAATGGGCGATTCCATAGTGTTTGTAATATCTTTAATATATCCTAAATGGTAGGAAATTTCCTACAAAATCCCCATTCAAAATTGGTACATCAAATTTCACAGATTTTTCATATGATTTCACGAAAATTTCATCGGATTCAGATTTCAAAGATTTCTAAATGACTTTCCAGATTTCACCGATTTTGACAAATAATTTTTGGGTTACGTAATTTGTGTATTTCGCCATATAAAAAACAATATTAAGTAAAAGTAGGAAAATGTTCGTGTTAAAGTAATAAATATATTTTATGAATTCATTAATAGAATATTTTTATTGTTTTTCTTTCAAAATTTATTTCCTTAATTTTTTCTTCAAACTTCGGTAATTTTTAAGTTTCTGTCGATAGACACATTAAAATTGAATGTAACACTTAGGTAGCACTTTTGTAGTTACCAACAGCAATTGCCAGGTTAACGCCTTAACACGCACACCTTACAGGCAATTGGATTTCTTTGATTAATTTTGTTTATTTGTTTAAAGCTGATTAAAAGTGCTCAAACCTGATAATTTTAGAAATAATACATGATTTCTCAAAGATTTTGCGGATTTTACAGATTTCACGGATTTTACAGAGCTAGTACACGAGATTTCACGCATGATTACCCCTCGGAAATGTCCCTCTGCTTTGAAGAACTGCGGATGTTCTTCTTACAGTGTCTGTCAATTTAAATCTTTTAATAAAAACTATACAAATTTTATCATTAATATATTCAGGCTTTATTTCTCAACATTCAACACACACAGTCTCGCTAAAGGTATTTCAAAAGCAATGCATAAATTTTTTATTTTAGTCTTGCTTGACCGTTCCATGAAAGTGGATAATGAAATTATTTATATGCATATGCATTACTTCATTCCTTAAACGGGTCAAGTATACAGTTTCGAAATTCGAAAATTTCCAATTGGAAATGTTTGATACGCTATTATCATATTAAATTCATTCATATCATATACTAAAACCAAACAAAGCTGTCGCACACTAGAATCTTTGTCAATATAAGTATGCACTTAGTGAACAACTTAAACAAAAACTGATTAACTCCCTGATTTATCGGTATACTGGTTATTGTTCTGCAGATCATTATCACGCTTTGACTGAATATAATAATCTAAAATTACAAAAACTCATGTAGTCGTTTTGCTTTGTGCCATTTAGAGAACACGCAACCCCATTCCAGATTCGCTTAAATGAACTAACCGTTGATGATCTCATGGCATGTCTGTATACTCCTTTATAATGTAATTAAATATAATAATCCTAAAGACTTAACTAATACGCTCAGCAGAATGTCTGAATATCCCTTAATTTTTAACTTCTAAATTGAAGAGTCGTTTTATTATTCAGCACCTTTTTAATGAATAAAATATAAGCTTATCGGCCTTTCTCTATTTCTAGATTTAAAATCTGTGTAAGGGATCAATTCAACTAATTATTTATTACTTTTATATTGTTTAACTATATTATATAACTAGAAGAAGAGAGCTAGTCGAATCTTTTGCCTTTGTGTAGTATGTACCATATATCATTTGAATTTGTATATAACTACAGAAAATATGTATTATGCGACTACTGTCACTCCATAATGATACATTTTACGGTCTATTGGTTTAGTATTTTATGTGTAATAAGCAATTGTTTTCCATATTCTAATTCTCTGGGGATTTCAGGTCTTCCCTGTCATAGAGTATTAACTTCCGATAAGGATAATTTAACACTAGTTTTTAACGAGATGCAGAGGTTAGAGGACGAGGAGAAGGAAGAAGATACCGTAGAAAATAGAAATTCGTATTCGGAATACGGCGGGTTGGGTGGGGATTATTCCGATGACGACGAAAAATTTTTTCCCTTCCAAAAATTCAAACACCGGACGAATTGTTGTTTCGGGTTGTCGATGGATTTATTGGAGAATATAGCTCAGGAATTAGAATTCGACTTTAGGTAATCAATTTAGGGCTTTGATCAGACTGGAATTCTATTAAAAACGCTAGAATATGGTTATGCAAATTCATATGCTGTGAGTAAGGGTAGGAGTGTGTTTTTGATTTGATGGGTTTTAAACTTTTCGAGTTTACTTCGGCACTTATAACCGTTTATCAATATTTTTGGTGAGTTTCGATTCAGAGGAAAATGTTTGAACAGTTTTTTTTTTGTTTAAAAGAAAGAAAAATGTGCAAAATATATTTCCAAACCAAAGCAAGTTGTAATTGAAATAATTAGCAGCATTTTTTTTATCATTGTTGCACTTATTTGCATATCCTTTCCAACCAAGTGCGATTTTTGCTAAAATTTTCATGCAAAAAAGTCATTTTTGTAGGAGTTTTCTTTTCAAGCCTCATATATAGTTATCTATAGTTTTCTAATGTAAAAAATTCTTGCATTGGGGCCAATAAGTTCTAAAGTCTTTTTTGCATATTTGCAGGTTATACATCGTAGCTGACGGAATGTTTGGTTCGAGGATATTGGCGAAAAAAGAGAACAGAGTCAATCGAGATGTTGGGAAAAAATATTTAAGTTCCAGGTAGGTGATAAATAAATCTGCTTGGAAATGGGGTTATTTTCAAGAACGTCCTTGTTTCGTACGTGAATAGTGAAATGGCCGCGCATAAATTACGAAAACAAAGAAAAAAGCAAGCAAAATGAAAATCTCTGGACATTTTCCTCGTTAAAATATTTTCAAATTTGCATTTCGCGTTTGCATAACGATCTTTTTGCCGAACTAATTACTTACGAAGTTTTTAAGCTACTAAATTTTATCTCTCACCATTCTGAAGCTTCCGCGACAATGCGACGATGAATCAACGCCACCGAATCTTTTATGACGAAAAAGTTATTGGGTGAATGTTTGCAAAGCCATTACCGCTAATAACATTTACATACAGTCACTAATGAGACCATTTATTTACATCTTTGATATGATAAATTAACTACGTTAATGGAACGGTCAAAATTATATCGAAGCAACAACCAGGTTATAAAATGAATATGAATATTTGCCTCGTTAATAATCTGTTAAATTGCGGTATGGATTTCAACGGAAAGCGTTCTTGGTTCATAATATATTATATGGGTAAACTGGTCGGAATACAAAAGCGAATCTCATTGTTAATACATATATATCCAATTACTTAGATAATTATCTATCTATTTATACATTAATATATTATAAGTTGATTATAGGAGTTGATCACATTATCTCTTAAAAATATCTAATCAAGATTTTCCCAGCTGCTGGTAGTAAATTGGGAAATTAAACTAACTAACCAAAACTACTTTTGCCTCGTTGCTTTTTCAAATTCTTTTACTTGCCTTCTTGATTTTATTAATATAGTAACTTCTATTCTTCTTCTCCAAGTGAGTATCCGTACCGGATATTTTTTCTTTGTTGATGGCGATTCGAAGAAGTTCTGCTGATGATTTGTTAAACCACGTTCTAAGGTTTGCTAACCGAGATATTCTCCTTCGACTTGGTGCTCTCTTACTGTTAATTTTGCCTTGGAGGATTTGTTGTAATAATCCATGTCTATCTCGGTTCCTCATTATGTGATCGAGAGACAAAAGCTTCCGACATTTTACGGTATCAAGCAGTTCTGTTTCTTTATTCATAAGTCGCAATACTTCTATGTTGGTAATTTTTTGTGTCCAAGATATTTTCAATATTCTCCTGCACAGCCATAATTCGAATGCTTCCAATCTCTTCGTGGTTTCTTTAGTGAGTGTCCAAGTTTCTACGTCATACAGAAGGACCAAGCAACGCAATAGTCTGAATTTCATGTGCAACTACAAATACTTAGCGGGCCTTCATGATCGTATTTCTTGAGAGTTGTCCCAGTTCTCGTTTATGGTTGTCCCCAAGTATGTATACTGCTTTACTCTTTCCATTCTACTCTGGTTGATGTATAAATTGTCTTCTGTGATGCCTCCTTTACTTACTACAAGGAGTTTGGTTTTGTTTATATTCATTTCTAACCCGTAATGTGAGTTAGCCTCAGTCATCATATTCATTAGTTTTTGTAATCCTTGAAGACTATCTGCAAATATTATAGTGTCATCTGTGTCATGAGTTTAGCACCATTTATGGTTATTCCTTCTTGAATACTGTCAAGTGCCTCTCTAAAGATTTATTCCGAGTACACGTAAAATAAGATAATGGATAGAATACATCCCTGCCTTACCCCTCGCAATATTTTTATTTGTTCTGTGTGCCCGCCGTCAACTCTTAAAACTGCCGTCTGGTTCCGATTGAAATATATAATTCTGTTTAAATTTTTACCATTCATTCCTATCTTCTTTAGTATGTCGACTATTTTATCATTGACATGAGCACTTGAACACTAAATAGAGCCTCTCTTGTGCCAACGGCATTCACAAATCCAAACTGATTTGGTGCAATCTGTTCTTCACAAAGTCTTTTGTGTATTATCTTAAGAAATAACTTTAAGAGATGACTCATTAAGCTTATTGTTATAACATCATCACAAGTTTCCGCACTTGCTTTTTTGGGGAGTGTGATGATTTGTGACCCCAACCAGTCTGCTGGAATTTCCCCTGTTGAATAGATGTTATTAAATATTCTAGTCAACCATTTTTTTTTATCGCCATTCAGTAGTTTTATGAATTCAGTATGTATTTGGTCCAAACCAGCTGCCCTTCGCGTCTTCATTTTCGAGATGACGGCTCTCACCTCATCAACCAGAATTTCCGGCCTTTCATCTTCAGCTGTCTTCTATTACTAGCACCAATGAATTAATGCTTTAATATTGAGTTTGAGAACCTCATAAAATTGTACTTATACGCAGTAAACAACGGATCATTGTGATGCTTTCGATGGCGTCAGCGGGACTAGGATATTGTAGTAACCTAGACCAGGGTTAGTTTTGGTTAGTTTCCCAATGAGATGAGGTTTTTTAAAATTCTTAGTAAGTTACTTAAGTTATTAAGTTCGATCCATTATTGTTATTGCTTTATACAAAATCTCCAATAGCTAAGCTTATTCGATCAATCTTCTGCAGATGTGTGGCAAGAAAGATTATAACTGGGACTCCTGGGCAATAAATTTTATTTTATATGTCGAATCTGCTAATAACTTTGCCCTTCCTATTTCACGCGTTCCTGATACTTTCTCTCTTGCTAGATATTTTGTAATTTTATGTCTTCCACTCTGTTTCAATTTTGCTTGTTCTTCTCTTATTCTTTATTTGTTCCTTGTTTGATCACTTAGATAGCCATTTTTTGTTTTTCTTTTACTCTTTTTATATTTTTGAAATGGTGTTCTTTTCAATAAAACCCTTCAGTATCGCATTAATACCGAGTGATCGTAAGGGCGTAAAATGCATATACATTTCCTTCGCAGGTTCAAAGACGAGATCGGTCGCGGCAAGCACATCAAGGAAGATAATTACGAGTACAACGCCAAATGGAACGGCATCGTTGGTGACTTGGTGACCGGTGCCGCTCACATGTCTTTCGCTGCTTTAAGTGTTTCTAGCGCGAGGAGTGAAGTGATCGATTTTAGTTCTCCGTATTTTTTTAGCGGGGTGTCTTTTTTAGCGGCGCCCCAACAAAGGTCCGAAATACCGCTGATGGCCTTCCTGTTGCCTTTTAGTATGGAATTGTGGATTGCCATTTTGACAAGTGAGTCGGATCCAAAATGCATGGCCTCTGTTTCATAATCAAAGGAACTTCGTCTACTTCAGAATTGAAGATAGTATTCTATACAAATACGAAAAGCAAATGTAATAACTATGGACACTTATTTGAGGGCTCCTAAAACCATCTTTTTGTATGGCCACTACTAATAACACGCAATACATTTATTGTGTATTGTTTTTTAAGAAAAACGTAATTCCCGAGTTTAAAATTGACTAAAGTGTCCGAATATACATCTTGTTCACGTTTCGCCAAACACGGTGTTGACTTCTTCGGACCGCTACCAGAAAGTGAAGGCCTGCCGGTACTAAGGAAAAGGGACTTTAATTACTTCACGGATGAATCCCAAATAGACCGAAACGTCATCTACATATCTTTTCCACAGTCTTGGTTTTCATTGGTAATTTTTTTCTAAAACTAAAACGTCAATTTCAGTACTGAATTAGAAAATAACATGATTTTTTTATCTCATCATATTTTTTCGACATCCTTATTGATCGCACGATCAGACTTAACCTTAAGCCACCAGAACCAATTATGCAAAATAAAAACAGATTCATAAATTATCGAAGAATTCTTAATAAATCAATAAAAAACACCAAAGCTAATTATTGTAAAGAACAAGTAGAAAGAAATGAGATGTGCCCAAAAAACCTCTGGAAAGTTGTTAAATCTATAAGTAGCAAACCAAATACAAAAATCCTCAGTATTCAATTAAATAATGCAAATTCACAATTTACCGAAAAGAAGACAATAGCAAACGAATTTAACAAATTCTTTTCAGGTATAGGGAAAGAAATAGCAGGAAAAATTAAAGAACCGCAAAGTCGTAAAACCACCAGACATAAAAAAAATAAAAAATCAGCCATTATTAAACATATCGGTGAAAAAATAGTATTAGCATTAACTAATCTGATTAACCATATTTTTGCAGTTGGTATTTGTCCATCTCACTTTAAACTCTCTCTTGTGACTCCAACATTTAAAAGCAGCAACAAACAAGAGATAAACTACAGGCCAATTTCCCTAATATCTACAGTGGCGAAAGTTTTTGAAAAAGTATTGAAACTAAAACTACCAAATTCTTAGACAAATTTAAAATAATTTCTGGGAAACAATATGGCTTTCGAAAAAATACAAGCACACAAAAGCAAACCTTCTTTATGCATATTCCTAGATCTCGCAAACGCATTTGACACCGTTAACCACGCACAGATGATTGAAGCTTTGGAAGATATAGGCGTAAAAAATATATCTCTTGATCTTTTTAAATGTTACTTAACTGGGAGAAAACAACCCGTCTTGATTGAAGATGAACTACGCACTCCAGAGTCTGTTACATCTGGTGTGATATTTTTTACAAATAATGTTATACACTTTCAAAAACAAACATAGTTTAAAATTTATAAATCACAGTTACGGAACACGGTGGCAACAAAATTTGAACATGGCTGTCGAAAGAAACTAACAAATGTAAAACGCAAAAAAACTTTATTTTCCTATCGCAGAAATTATTCAACTATTTGCCGTCAGCCCAAAAGCAACTTCTAATTACCACTGATCGGGTACATATCTTTAAAATAAAAATAAAAAAAATCATTGCACAAGTGAACAGAAACGAAATACGACAATCACAAGCATCACTTAAATACTAAAAATATTGTTTTGTAATATCTACGTTTTCAAATAAATAATAAATAATAATATGATAATAATAATAATAAGTGACAAAAAAACACGAGACCTCGACAAATAACGGCATCAGCAATTTCTAATTCTCATAATCATTGGGACACCAGTTTCTGTCTTCTATTTGTGATTCCGTTATTCACGAAGCAATTAAAAGCTTCCCAGTTTCAGGTAGCGCTCTGAAGAAGCCACCAAAAAGTTTGGCGAAACGTCAGTTCCACAATCTAGGGAAATATCTCTTTAAATTTATTATGAGAGTTCTACGGGCGTGCAAGTTTATCGATAACGCGAAAACCCGGATAAATTTATTTATAGTTCAATAAAGTGACAATTTTCCACATAGCCCGATATTAACCCTCGTCACTAAAACAGCAGATTGCGAAGCGTGAAAATGGAGAAACGAATTGCGTTCCGGACACCGAACAGCTGTTTGAGGCGTGCCTACAAAATTATGCGGCCATTTATATGAGAAACGGGTCCCACCTTATTTGGTGTCATAGCTTTTTTCTTTTCCGGCCCAATAAATATTGTAAAACGGTGATGGATGGATGAATGATGGATTTTTAATATTGTCTACATTAAAATCTCGAATAAATTTGGTACGGGTTTTTAAAAAGCAGTTAATCCAGAATATGTTTTTATTGATAATACCAACGGTGGATATTTGATAGACAAAAAAATATGATCAACGTTTTAGAATGCATTATAATACGCGTGTGATCTTCTCTGATCCGTGTAGCTCAGCAGGACCTCTAATCATCGATTTGATTAGGTGTGTTTGATTATGGATGTTTTGTTTGCTGAAAACCTTCTAGTTTAAATGTTCTATTGCAGTCGTGTGGTTTTCATTCTTCAAAAAACCGTTGAATAACGCTTTCAATAGGTGGCCTGGCACTGGCTTACTGAATACCGTCATCATTTGACGCCTATCAGAATGGCACCTCAATTGCTCTGAATGGGCCGACTTGTATGAAGCTTCCCTTGCTTCCCGTTCATTTTTGTTGTCTCAAATGCATTTTTTTAAAGGCCTATTAAAGAAACATTGTCACCAAATTCGGTCTGAGGGAGGGATAGGACTTCATTGTTCGAATGACATCAGTTTCCCTGACTTGAATTACTTAAGTACCTCTTACATCTTGCTCGAAAAATGTAACCTCTTTAACAACGAATATCTTATCTACTTAATAGGTCTATTAACAGATTATTCATTGATTAAATTTGATTAAAAATGCGTCTGTGTATTATTTAAGCTACGTTTCAGGTCTGAATATTACCGCAATAGCCGTAGCAATCTACGAATGGTTGTCGCCGTTTGGCCTAAATCCTTGGGGTAGACAGCGTTCGAAAAATTTCAGCATGAGTTCCGCCCTCTGGGTGATGTGGGGCCTCCTGTGCGGCCACCTGGTAGCGTTTAAGGCGCCAAAGAGCTGGCCCAATAAATTCCTGATCAACGTGTGGGGAGGGTTTTCCGTTATTTTTGTCGCCAGTTACACAGCGAACATTGCCGCCTTGATTGCTGGCTTGTTTTTCCATAATACGGTCAGCAATTATCACGACAGGAGTGTAAGCATATTTTACATATCTAATATTGGTTTGATTATAAGTATTTTGTGTGTATTCTTCACAGTCGTCTTTAACTAGATTTTATTTCAACATTTAATACACATCAGATATATTTCCATTTTTATATTTTGTACCCGACCAACCTTTATAAGGTCATAATTTTAATTTAACCTATTTGCATTTGTTAAAAATTGTAAGGAAATTGAAAACGTAAATTATAAACCGTTGTGATGATGTGAAATAATACCTTTTCTTTAATTATTGTTATTTAATTATTATCAAAGATCATTTAATTGAGTTGTAGTTATTGGTCACGTGTTAAATATTTTTCGAAAAATTAAGGGAGCTAAAATTTTACGAAGAATTATCAGCAATCGGGACATCACCTCTGACGATAGTGGTGAAAATTTTAATGTAAATTTTTTAATATTGTCAATTTGGAAGTTCGAGGTAATTTCCAGCGATTACTTGATACTTGGATCTGCACGTTGAATGGGTTTTCCCATAATATTAGAATTAATGGGTACGAAATTGATGAGTGATTGATGACGACGGCCGTATATTACTATTTGACCTTTCGCTGGCGCAAACTGAAATTGCCGTCAAATTTACCAGAATATATCGGCGCGAGGTGTTTTCGTTATCAACCAAAATCGAGGATACGGTTATGGATCTGGCTACCCGCTGTTTATTGCGGTGTGAACTGCATAGATCTTTGCAAAAATAATATTTTTAAGTTTTTTGCGTTTACCCTTTACACCATGTACCTAAAAACACTATTCAATAACAAAACCAGCATGGGGAGAGGGGCCAACCTTTAAAGCTTAAATTTAAACCATCATTTTATATTACAGATCATGCATCAATCAAAAATTATTTACATACTTTTTAGACGCATGGGATAAAATTAGATTTTTGCCAAGTTTGTCCACGTAAATGTCCACAAATTCTTCAGATGGGAAAACTATATTTTCTAGTTTTCGAAAGATCTAAAAAGCCACGTTTCCTTTGCAAAAGAAAGAATGAAAAATGCGTTTGTATTTGTTTGTATATTCTTATTGATTTTTTTATTGCTAGACGAAGTTGTTTTATAGTTGTATATAGCCGGATGAAAACTTTTGTTTAAAATTCCACTGAAAAATTAACAATATAGAAATAATTTTGCATTAATATGTGGTACATTTTGGTACATTTTGTATATAGATAAATTATTTTATATACTGCTTTATTTCTAAGGACGCGTACAGTGTATCCATTTTATGATGTTATTGCAAGATAGAGCAATACAGTTTTCGCAATACTGTTGTGGATTCTCGAAGCAAGAGATGCATTTTATAAACTCCCTGTATCGTATCAATTTTTTTATAAAAGTTAAAGTTTTTAAATTAGGAACACCTTGAATACTTTTTAAAATAAAATCATGTATTTCACATTTTAGAAAATATGCTTTTGTTATATCTTAATTTTATTCCTGATAACAGATTATTATTTTCATTATTATTATTATTATTAATATTAATTTTTGATTTGAAAAAATACGATTATACTACAAACGTAGTATTCTCAACAAGCAACTGCATTCTAATTTCCTCCACTGCTCAATATTTTATAAGTTTTGAGAGACAAGCCAAAAGCTAAATTAAATATTTAGTTTATTTTTTCATGATAATATTTATAATAATAATAATTATTGTTAATATTATTATTCCGATATTATGCAAGTGGAAGAAAATTTTAACAGAAAAGAATATTTTTCGAGATGTTTTGTAAAATGTCAAAATATTAGATTAATAAAAAAATATGTTTAGACAATCATATATTTTTGAAAGGCGTATAAAAAGCGCAATGAAATTTAAAAAAATATGTACAGATTGTTCCATTAAAAAAAAAACATATCTTAAAAATCATATCTGATGACAATGATGAAGGATGAAGAATTAGACTAAGTGCACTAATGGATTTTACGTAAAAAGATGTGTAAGATTCTGTTACAGGGAGTTAAATATACGAAAGGCAACTGGAAAAACGACTATTTTCACGTCCCAATATTGTATAAGTGATACGTGAATCATCTATCAAAAAACTGAAATTCGGAGCTAACCCAAATAAATCCCCAAAGCGAGGTACGAGTTAGTTTCGTTCCCGATGACAAAAAGGCAAATATTTTCGGTGGCTAAAAACCGACCGTACAGGTTTTTCCACGTTCGTCCTCGGGGGAGTAAAACAAAGCATAAAAATAAAAGGTTTTGAACGTTTTCGTAACAACGGCTCTAGCAGGGAAGCCTTTGTCTTGTCCGATGCCAATGACATTTAAATTTTATTGGTTTCATATACCACACAGATGCCATGCGCTGTAAAATTTGATTATATATAAACGTATTGCGTTTTCAGTTGTTAAGTCAAAAAGTGGGGGCGCCACAATCGTCGGCTGCTGAATATTACGTCCAAAAGGCCAACCAAATGCTCTGGCAGCACATGAGCAAGTATTCGCTGGAAAACGTCGAAGACGGGGTGAAGAGATTAAAGTAAGTTTCATAACTATAACATATATAAATTGAAGTTCAAAACTCCAAATTAGTAATTAAATATAAACTAAATGAAAATAAAAACCCCTGATAATACAAAACAAATAGAATGCATAAAATACGCAATAAAGGTTCTGTTTGAAATTCGCTAGAATTTGCATTTTCTGATTAGCCAGTATGTTAACAAAAATTATTCGATTTAAAAAGCGATCCAGCAGTTTCGCTGGCAAACAGAAAGTTGATTTTGTGTGTATCGATTATCTGTTATGAATATTTATTTGGTTCTAAACTGAACTAATAAAACAATGAAATGGTAGATAATAAAAATCGCTCTGGACGAAAACGGGAATACTATTCAGCGTTCTTCTTTTTTAATAATTCATAGCGTACATCATTCGAAACTTTCCGTGTTCGGTCATTTTCCTTAATTTTATCCTATTTATATCAGCATTTTTAACATTATAATCCATAAATTGGTTTTGGTATTTGCAAAATTACATAAAATCGGTAGATAGAAACTTAATAAATTGCCAAGTGGATGATAGAAAAAAAATTAGCCAAGTTCACTAAAAATACCACTGAAAAAAAGAGGAGCATATATCATAAGAACTAGAGTATTATAATTATTTCAATTTATAACCGCAAATTAATATAACTCGTAAATTAAAATTATAAAGTTATAAACTTAACTGACTTCGGACGTGTACAGGGTGATCCATTGTAGATGTCCACCCCTGCTAACTTTTGTCCTTCAGATTTTATATGAAAAAAATTAAATACCAAGTATTTGAGTTACAACTGAACATTTTCTTTTAAATTATGGTCACGTATACAGAGGGGAGCCAGCCTGTGTTTTATACCGCTATGTGAGAGTTGTTTGAAGACAGTAAATGCCAAAAACTAAAATTTCACTTAGTAGGTGGATAGCCCTTTTTTTATTGATTGTGTCATTGTTTGTTGAATTATTGCTATGTCAGTTTCTGCTTCTTAATTTAGCAGAAAATTTGTTAAATTATGTTTTCCGAAAAGGAAGGACGCGTATGTATGGAAATCCACATCTGGAAAGGCATTTAAACGTATTTATTTATCATTTCTGAGGAATAGATAAGATAAGAGAAGAAATAGGCATTCCATTCAAAACCAGGATGAACAATTATTTTATGTTTATATTATCACGGTTTTGATTTTTTTTATTTTGCCTGCGCGTCATGATACGTCTACCAGTATAATACAAACTATTCTTATATATTTTACTTTCTAAATACTTGCTTATTTCAGAATTCGCTTCCCGTCGAGACGATCATGGTGTTCTGTTCTTCAAAATGGGGTTTTTAAAATACTGAATAATATTTTGCAGACTTTACGCCAGTGCTGGATATTTGCTAGTAATAATCATAGTATATTTTTCAGAGAACCCTATAAATTATTTATGTGATTGAATTCGTGATTTGCGTAAAAGAATAACAAGTGGGACCTTTTAAAATCATGGAAGTGCATTACCCGACTCAGGATGCACAGGTTAGAAGGACTAAAGATTTTATGAACTGGCGAATCTTTATTTTTAACAGCAGGGGTACTCAACAGAAAATTACGCTATTCGTTTGCAGAAAATCCATAAAAATATTGTCAAAAACAGTGTGGAATTAAAAAAAAAAAACACAATTGTAGGGCCTATGTTTTATGAAGGTGCATTATCGGGCGGTACATACCAAAGGATTAAGAGTTAATGGATAATATGCCATTGAATGAAGTTGTCGGACTAACGGACTATCTCAACAATAAATATATAGGTGGATTGGAAGACACAGAAAAACGATATATCCAGCTAATTAATAAGCTAAATAAATAAATAATATTTTATAAACATATTGGAAATTAACGGTGATACTAATGTAGTAGATATTAGATAGATATAAATAGTTTCACAAATATGTTTCAGTAAAAATGTATTGATAAATACGTCAAGAAAAAAAATATCATATATGCTTCTTTTTATCTGTATCTGAAGGAAGAAAGTTAGCACTGGTGGACATTTATAATGGATCACCCTGTACACTGTTGTAGGAAAATAACGAATTTTGCGACTTTTTCTGTCAACTGAATGGCCTCTTTTCATGCAGAAATGGGTCCCTAGACATCCTTATCGCAGATACGCCTATCCTCGACTATTATAGGGCCACAGACCACGGATGTAAGTTGCAAAAAATAGGGGACACGATCAACGAGGATACGTACGCAATCGGCATGACAAAGGGATTCCCCCTAAAGGTATTTAAAGTTTATTTTTGATTTCGCTGGTGCCAAAAACAAGGGAAGATGTCTGGAATATGAACAAAATATAAAAAATATTGAATATTCCATTGGTAATACTTGTTATTTTGATAATGTTTAAATATTTATCTAATGATACATATTGGGCACGTTTTACTGGGCAGCGAACGACGAAATAATTTATTTTATTTAAATTTGTTTGACCCGAGTAAACAGAGACGGAATTTAAATAAAAAATACTGATATTGTTTAACAGTCGGGCACAAATATTCGAAAACTTTCGTAATTAAATTATTTTAAGTCTCGACAAAAGCTTTCGAGAATAAATTTAAAACGTCAGTTTAACAAAACTGCCTTTGTTTCGTCAGTAGCAAAAATTTTATAAAACAACCTAGAACAAAGCTTGCACAAAACAGAAATTAATGAAGAATAAAGTCGACGGAAAATAGAAATTTCAATTAAAATAGAAAGGTTGTGTTTATAGAAGTTGGCGTGCCCAGAATAGTTTTTTCAAAATTGCAATTCGTGTAGGTATCCCAAGGAGATTTACCATTTTAACCTACGCAATTTGCATCGTGTGTCGCAGTCTGGAAACGAGGTGCGCTGAAATAGCTACCTGAGGGCTTAATTGTTTTACTGATTTTTTGAAACCCGGTCTCTGCATTTTTTTTTTAATATTAACCATATCTAAAGTGAGTACTGACAAAGTGACTACAACACATAGCGATAATGTCAGCTGGCGGGTAATTTTGTGACTTTTGAAAGTGTTTCAGGAAAAGTAATAAAGATAAATAACTAAATTTAGATTTTGAATATCACTTTGTATCATACATAATAGATTAGCGTTTCATTTAGTAAATTAGAGATTAGTTAGACGTTTAAACAACCCATGAAGTAGAAACAATTTCAAAAATTCAACTTATGTTTGTGTTTTAAGTTTAAGTTTATTCATGTTGTAGAAATTGAAATACGGTTTACGCTAGGTTGTTGGTCCCTTCGGTAACTAGTTATCCTTGTATTTTTTCTTATAAAATTCTTTTTCTGCGTTTATGTAGGAAAACCTGGTGGCAAGGTAGCATGATTGAAAGCCTATGAAAAGCCTCCAAGTTTGTTAAAATGCGTTCAGCCTTTTTGGAGTTATTCATAGACCAAAACGCATTGAATAAACAGGTTGAAAATTGTATCCCTCTCACTACCGTTAATGTAAGAAAGTTTGTGTAGAAAACGAACTCATGCCCATTTCAGAAACTCCAAAGCAATTTTCTAGAAACGCTCTTTTCTCATCCTGGGACACCCAGTATATCCAAAGAAATATTTCAACAAGGCTTTAACATTTCATGACAGTCATACCGATCATATTTTAAGCGGGCATGATTGCAACGGTATGCTAAGATTTTTGACCAGTCAGAGGAGACGTTCTACAGATACTCTGGAATTTTTTGACGTTTTGAATTTGAACTGGTAATTTCGCCCATTTTTGCTGTTTAAGAAGCGTTGTTTTATAGGTGTTAAATAATTAGTAATTTGATCGGCTAAACGAAATAATGGATAATCCACCATTTGTAAATGTTGCTTTATGCTGACTTCCGGTTCCGATTTCGAATTTCCACGGTTACTTCACATGATGTAACTTTTTATTTTAGCAAATAAAAGTAAACTTAAAGCAAAGCCTTTACAAAATTGGAGAAAAAAGCCCAGAAAAACGTCCCTTAACCCCATATTTATGGAAATATATATTTTTTTAGGACGGAAAGATATGAACCTTATGTTATATGAACATTATCTTATTAATTATTATTATCTTTAGTTATTGTAGGTCTCGAAGTTAGCTTAATATTTTTTTTGTCATTTATCTGTACTAATTAAGATTTAACTGGCTATATTATAGCTATTACGTAAGATTATTTTATTTGAATGGTGGTATACGCAAAGCTGTCTTTATAAGAGTGATTGAGAGGATTCGTAACTAAGGGACATTTTTTGAGAAATGAACAAAATGTCAGATAGCTTTATTCGAGGAATACCTGCTGGTAATAAGACGATGCATTAATTGTGAGAACTAAGGCACTGAACCAGTTAAAAATAGAGGGTAGAGATCAACGCATGTCTTAATCGGCATTTTGGTACGGTTTGATAAAGAAAATATATTCTCGAAAAATTTCAGCCTCCGCAATGCAAATTTTAGACTTTCTTTTTAAATACCTACGTTGCTCTAAGAATGTCAAAATAACCAAAGTCCCTTTTGAAACTTATCTTTTAGTTCCAATAAATAGTTTGAAAAATTTCCTGACCCTGTCACATAAATCGTTTCGGACGGTGAATGGTACCAACTGTAATGGGTACTGTTCGATACAGAAGGGACCAAGTTATATATTTTTCAAATTTTCACGATTATAAATAAGAGAAATATAGAAATTCGAAAATTGGCTATTATATTCTCAACGTTTTTTTTTTATTTAATTTACGATCATTTTTAAAAATAAATTTTTGATTCTAGATGATACTAAAAAAGGGAAAAAGTGTGGATCAAAAAAAATACAACGACATTTTCCTTTAAAAATGTTTTAGGACAGCATATCGGCGGTGATAGCGAAATATTCGTCGAACGGTTACATGGATATATTGCAAGAAAAGTGGTACGGAGGTCTGCCGTGTTTCAAATTGGCGAATGACATCGCGCAACCGAGGCCCCTGGGGGTTGCCGCGGTCACGGGGGTTTTTATTTTGCTCGGGGTCGGAATCGCTATGGGCTTGTTAATTTTATTGATAGAGCATTTGTTTTTTAGGTAAATAACATGTCTCGGTTGCCCTGTTCATGAATCTTATCCGATTTCGTTTTCAGATATACGCTGCCCCTTTTGAGGGACAAACCTAAAGGGAGCATTTGGCGCAGCAGGAATATTATGTTTTTTAGTCAGGTGGGATATGGAATAACTATATTACAAAATTTTTGATTTTTTTCTATATTAATAGTCTAGTACGAGTTTTAATGATTATTGTGGTGACTGAGGATTTCCGCTTATTAATTATGTTTATTTTTGTCTTGGTGTCCAAGGAAATGTATGAAGTTTATGAGGTTTAAACATAGCGAAGAAAAAGAGCAAGTTTTATTGTTTTTTTAAAAGAAACTTCCACAGGCTACTGTAATATTTTTTATAAAACGTCTGGATTCCTCCTGCGTCGGTTTTTGCTGAGTCGAACTAGCTAACGTTTCGCCAATCATCCTGTTGGTTTCTTCAGACTTTCTTGACTGAACCAGTTTCAGTCTGAAGAAGCCAACATCATGATTGGCGAGACATTAGCTAGTTCGAATATTTTTTTCCAACAGGTCTACAAAGATAAGAACCACTAAAAGACATAACATACTCTAACATACTCACTTACGCTCACAACGATGAAATAATATTTATTCAATTTATTGCAATTTATTATAGATAGAGTTTGTCTTACAAATTAGGAAAAACACGCCTAAAATGTTTTCAATAATTTATTAAAAATCAACCATTAAGTCAGTCAAAATATTTTATTAGATCTTCTTTGTCATTCAGAAACATTTTGTGGACACTATTTAGAGGGGTCAGAAGTGGTCAGAATACTTTTAACTAATTATGTCAAGTTAAAAGTTGTTAAAGAAAAATCATTTCATTTAGAGGCTTATATTGTCCGTAGAAAAAAAATTATATGAACTTGTCATGTTATTTTGTTGTGTTGCATCTGAATTCCAGACACTACTTACATTTTACCTGTAGAATGATTCACATTGAGACTGGAGTGACTGTCATCTAAAAATTGCATAGAACTAATAAAGAGAACTTTCCGAAATTTGGTAACTGACCAATAGCTAATAATAAAATAGAAAAATTAAATTTATGTCAATGAAATCCGCATTTTTGGGACTTCCCGTATCATGTGTTATCACTGGTTTATTAATTTGTTTTTGAAATACTGTAGAAACTCGTAGTGAGTTATAGGGCATATTTGAAATGCATAAGTTTTTACTGGTTTCGGGAAAATCGGTTTTAATGGGTTAAATTTCAAAAAGTTAGACATATGTTAGAAAAAATATGATGGAGGATTTTTGTCAGGGATCACTTAAAACATATCGGTACTAATTTTCATTATTATAAAAAAAATAATTTTCATTATTATTATTAAAAAATTATTATTATTATTATAAAAGTATGTGCGATAAATAAATTGGAGAGGTAAAATATTATCGTTTTTTTAGTTATGAGGGAGTATGTAAAATTTTATTTATTTACACCCGATCCGAAGCAAAAAAATGGAAACGTCAACCAATGGGAAAATTTTTACCTCTTTAAAACTTACAATTAAAAGAGCTAAGTTTAATATTGGTTATTGGTATTGGATTTCAAGAAAAATGCATTAGATTTCTGTCAGTAAAGAGAGTGAAACCCAGAAAATTGAAATTTTTATTTTTATTTTATTAACGCCAACTCAAGACGAAGTTCTTAATTTGTTTAACATAAAATATCGAGACAGACCCATTACAAGATCTGAGATAATGAGTAAAACTGAACTGCCAAGTCGTCCAAAAATTCATTAGAACACAAGATTTTTTTTATTTTTTGTTGTAAGTTGACATTTAAAAAAGGGAGCTTGGTATCGACATCTAATTTTTAACCCACCCTGTGTATTTTCTATTTATTGAATTCCAATCCAATAGCAAAATATATTTATAATTAAAATAATGGTTTAAGTTAAAAAGTTCGTTTTTTCGTGATAGATTTTCATTTGAGTATCAAACGAGTAATGATATTGAAATTTTTTAGTAAATATCTTCATAAGTAAAAAAATAGTTGCAATATTTTATCTCTCTTCAGATGAATGCAAATTTTAAATACCAACCCAACAGAAAAATTAAAAAAAATCATCAAATGGTAAAGATTTTACTAGGGTGGTAATCCACACTCAAATTGAATCACTTAACCAGTTAGTGTTTAAAAGTCGCTTGTAAAGTATTAAAATAGCGAAAACTGCGGATGTTCATATAAGGTCTTACGCTGCGGTAGAGCATTTGATTGATTACTGATATTTCGCAACAAACTGTGATTTCGCAATAATTAGCAAATCGTTTCTGGAACTCCACTAGGTAAAGAAAAAAACATTTAAGACGTGGTAGTAAGTAAGTTGGGGTAAAAAGGATGAATTAAACCAGTTGCGGAAATTGGAACATTAATTTGTTCCTCGCTTGAATGTGAAATGAATATCTTTTGAATAGCAATTTCTATTATTAAACCTCGGCAATAATTAACACCGACATCGATTAACCCGAATCAGTGCTAATAAACCGTACTGGATATTATACTCGAACCCGAGCGGTCATCATGGGATCGAAGCCAAAGTGTTCTGTAATATTATCCGTCATCTGAAACCAAATACAATAATGCTTTTCCGTCTCTGTTTGCAGAAACTTTATCGCTTCATCAACTGTGTCGAGCTGGTATCGCCCCATCACGCGGCCAGAGAATTGGTTCACACTATCAGACAAGGACAAATCACCAGCCTTTTCCAAAAAAGCATTAAAAGGGTTCGTAAAGCTGCAATTTACTTTTATATGCGCCTTGCGGAAAATCCGCGCCGGATTTTTAGCTCGCGACCGTAGTTAGGAATGTTTGAAAACAATTTAAGACGATTCGGTGTAAGATAAAAAGTTTATAACAAGTTTTGGTTATGATCAACTAAGTTTTGATTTTGCGTTGGGTCACTGTTACTTTTACCTCTTGACTCATTATACTTCACACATTGCCATTGTCATTGTAGATATGAACTGAAAGTTACTTTTTATTTTAAATTGCCCTTAGGGTATTTTAATTGGGATATGGCGGCCGAAATCAGGTTTCTTTAAATGACATGTTCCACGTAAGTTTCAATTATTTTATTAAATATTTCCCAGCCAAATTAAATAAAATAAATAAATGTTTGCCATTGTCGTTTTTTTATGAAATAAAAAACTTTTTTTTTAATAGTGAATTTTATAAGTAGTAGAGTAACGGCACTCAAAAAATTAAAGTTCAGAAAGGGCCCAACTTAACCAACAGTTAACAAAATTAATTAATATATCACACTAGTAGAACAAAAACAGCGATTTAGATCAGGAAGATCAAAGACAAATAACAGAAAAATCAATCGAATACAACCGATCAGCCTTCATGTGATTTTTTGACTTGTAGAAAGCCTTCGATCCAACACAATTGAAAGATATAATACACGTTTACACTTTACGATCGCCAAATTCCATTCAATATCATCAAAACAGTGGAAAATATATACAGGGGAAATAACATACAAACAAATATAAATGGCGAACTAACTCAGCAAATTTCTGCAAGTATGAGATTCGAAAAGGGGACATTGTAGTGGATGAAATAAAAAAACAAGTTCGCAAACTAAGAGGATACAAAATCGAAAATAGGGAAGTCAAAAATCTCTATGCAGATGACGCGTTTCCTGTTTCGGAGAACGAAGATGATCTTTAAAGACTTCTGTAGCAGTTCAATGAAACAGCCAACCAATTTAATGTGGTTATATCAGCAGCAAAAACAAAAACGATGGTCACTTCCAGGTCACCGATCAGATGCACACTTGCAATTGAGAACAAAATAATTCAACGGGCAATAAGATTTAGATAATTAGGAATTGAAATATCTGGATACTGAGACGTTGAGACTGACGCAAGAAAGCAAGCTATACCATCTGGCTAAATAAACACTTCCGAACTGAAGCAAAAAACCGAATATATAAAACTGCTATTATACGTATACTCACCTATGCAGCACAAACCCGACCTGAGACCTCGAAAGCAAAAGAAATATCAGAGACGACGAAAATGAAAATAGTTCGATGAATAGCGGGAAAAGCACTCATGGATAGGGAAATAAGTGAAGATATTAGGCGGTAGAAAGAAGAACGAATAGTGAAAATTTCGAGGGAAAAATCACAAGCAGGACGAAGGAACTTTGGAAGAAATAGGAAAAGGTGGAGCCCCAGCCTCCGAAATGACTGAATTATGGCAAAGTTGTGAAGAAAAACAGCCTATATGCAGTAGGAAGAAAAAGAAGAATTTAATAAAATGAATTATTTTCTGTAAAATCTTTTTACATTTAATTAATTTATTTGGTTTGGTTAGGATGTTATGATCAACTTCAATTCTAACCTGAACTTCAAATCTGCAAAACCATACTTTTTGGCCATTTAAATTAAATTGATTTGGTTAATTTAAATTAATTGATTTAAATATTTAAGAAAATAATCCCAAAACGGTTAAAAATATTCTAAATTATATTTGAAAATTCCTTTAAAATGCCCCCAATGTCGATATAACCTCGTTTCTTACATCTAACTAAGAAATAATATATATTGCTTATTTTGTTGATACTGATTATTTATCATTACTTTTAATACGCGATTTTTAGCAGTTGGTTTAAACATGTTATTTTGGAGATATGAAAATTATTTAAGGACTATAATTATATAATTTCTTTGGATCGCTATTGCAATTTTTGTTTTTAATTATTGGTAATATTGATTCTAGCGGTCCCATGAGGTTATGTTAGCACACCAAAAGTTGCACTTAACTTTCGTGGTATTTGGTGAACCATCTCTCAATGACTTTTGGTACAGACGAACAAACGCAACAAATAAAAGACACTAAATAAGCTAACCACAATTATTTTTAGTTTTTTTAGTTCATTTTTACATTACAGTTTGTCACTCAGGGTTTTTACCGTATATTGATGGACCACCTACTTCTTGTTTGCCACCTTCCCAGTATTTTAATTTCATAGCTTTCACCAGTTCGTTGTCAAAATAAACCTCTTAAAATTGTGTTGATAATAGGCAGTTCATTTTTGCAAAACTTTTGTGTGAAAAAAAACAAATACAGGAAAAAATAACACACGTTATTCGCACATGGTCTTTTCAGTTCGTTACTGCGGGGTCAATCTTCTAGTTACGGTCCTGAATTTCGGTCAAGCATGCTGGAAGCAATTAATCGCTCGTACTTAACGTCTAAAGCGGATTGATCTAGGTTTACGGTCGTATTTTACGCTTAACTCTAAAACTTCGCGTCAGTTTTTGTCGCGTCTTATATGGGCGTCCCTCCAATAATTGGCCAAGCTCAGCAACTTTTTTTCCGAAACGGAGCTCATTTCGTTTTTGCGCCAGTGCATTGGGGTCGAACGGATGACGACAGCGACTTAGAAGCTAACGTCCGTTATTTCAATTAATATTGTTCGGGCTATCAATCTATCCTAATGGAACCGCAGAGAAAGACCATTATTCCAATTTATTAGAACATTTGCTGGTGTAACAGAGAATATCATTTAGCAAGCGCAGCTAAATTTTGAAAGCATATTGGAAATGCTCGTTTGTTGTTTTAAAAAAAAAGAGCTATCTTAATTCCCTGAATATTTATTTTGAGTAAAATCTAAGCAAAATTATTTAATGACCTATAACAAGTAAATAAAGACTAAAATGGAAATATATCTTGGCGGTTTTCTTTTCTCTTGATTTTCCTTGTTTCAGAAGGAACACGAACAACGTCGAAGGAGGAAAAGCAAAGCGCAATTTTTCGAAATGATACAAGAGATCCGTAGGTAAATGTCTTTTTCTTTGCGGGGTGTCTGAAGAGTAAACACTTTGATCGTTTGCTTCGCTAAACCTCCTAATGCGGGCGTTAGGTTAGCATGGAAAAAATCATACACTAAAATTTTTTTGTAAACACTTCCCCATATATCTTTGAAATGTTTCTAAATGCCTATCGATTTTCAAAATTCCCCCGACATCTTTCCAAAATACGAAAATTCCAAGGAGAGTTTGCAAACCATTTTTAAATTTCAACGGTTTTTTACGTCACAAGCAACAATTGAAAAAAATATTTGTAAGATATTTTTGGTATGACATCTACATAAAAACAACCAAAAACTAACCAAGAATAATTTTTCAAAGAAACTTCCACAGGCTACTATAATACTTTTTACACAACTTCTGGATTCCTCTTGCATTGATTTTTGCTGAGTCGAAATTGCTGACGTCGATGATACTTTTGTTATTTGGCCTCATGGTCAAGAACCTTAGTAGATTTTCTTAGACATTTAAATTCTATACACCCTCACATACGTTTTAGCTCCGCCCCCCTCAAACAATATATAAGCAGGTACAGAGTAAAATACAAGCCAGTTTCAGTCAAGCTCTGAAGAAGCCAACAGGATGATTGCCGAAACGTCAGCAATTTCGACACAGCAAAAACCGACTCAGGAGGAATCCAGAAGTTGTGTAAAAAGTAACCGAGAATAAGATAATCAGTAGATGGTACATACGAAAAACAAAAGCACAAAACAAATGATTGTGGGAAAAGATAATTGTATTAGTATTGATCAACTGAAAAAGTTTCGCGTAAAGCATAAAAAACAAATTATCACGTGACTGTCTTGAAGGTTATAGAATTAAATATTTATTATTCAAATAGGTAAATGCAGATAAAGCGTGCTAAAAAAATGCACATAGAAAGTTGTGACGACTGCCCTGGGTCGTCTACAATTCGAATGAAATTAATCGAAACATTGGGAAATGGAGCAAAAATCAAACGAATCTGATTTTTACACAAGACATATAAATAATCTCTTTAGAAGTGCCAAAATTATTAGCTTTTAAAATTCTCGCCATTCATCTAAACAGGCTCACCTCTACCGTTGTATATATTCTCCGAAACACCCAACTAACCAAACCTTTTAATTCCGCTGAAATTTCTTACCTTTGTACACTAAAATACACGCTGCTTTTGTGACGTGGTCTCTTAGCAACAGAATAACATTTAAACATCAGAATATTGTGGTAAACTCGATAATAAAATTAATATTTTCCTTTATGTAAACCGTATTGCGCTTCCTGGCAGGGAAAGATAAATAACATTAATTTAAATTGCGTGATACGTGTAAAAAATATACCTTGTCGTGTCAGAGCGCTTTTTGTTTCACCAATAGACATTACAATAGCAATTATTGAAAGCACCTAGCTACTAGATACATTAAATAACAGAGCAAGAATAGAGGCAATAAATAAGTGTTACAACTGAGATTTTTATGAGATTTTTACCTTGAACTGAACGATCTTTAACGCACATACATTTCACACACTTCCACGTACGCTGCTCATTTGGTGCGCTTACAGATGATTTGCATACTTTCCCATCGCAAAAGCACGCTCGGGTTCGAAACGAATCCCGCGGCTGTAACGAGTAATTACTTTTCAGACACCCTTAATCTTTTAAGTCAAATTTACCGTTCAAATTAGTAACATCCGCAGGCAGCAGCAACAAGAGGAGAGTCAAACCCAATTGGAATCGGTCACTGAAGTGGAATCCGAGTATCAGTTAAGTCCGGATGAAAAGAAAACCAAATTAAGTCCGAGTATTATCCGCAGAACCTTTTTGCGTAGCAGCCCTAAGGGGGATAACGAAAGCAAAATCAAATCTCCGACCACTTTATTTAATAAACAGATATTTAGCCCCAGGAGCAAAAAGGCAAAGAGCTCGACCGCTCTTAACGTGCGTAGGTAAGTGTAGCCCATATTGATGGCTTGTCTCATCAAGAAAAAATACTTATTAAATTTTCTGGTATAAAGGGCGATTCACATTGAATTTCCTATTAGAAGTTCTGGAGAACTAAATTGTTTTTTTTTTTAATTTAGGATATGGCCGTAGTGCTCCATGAATATTTGAAATAGACTGGCAGCGTTGCCAATTCAACTCGAAACAAACGCAAGATTGGCATTTCATTATGGTTTTGAGCAAGATTCTGAGTACCTTTTGCTAAAATTTCCTAATGTCGATCATTTTTTCTTACTTCTTTTTTCTTTTATACTTCTTTCTTCTTTAATTCTTTTTTGCACAAAGTGTGTGTCGGAACTTTACATACTTTCACATGTACTGAGTTTCCAAAATCAGTGCAAAAACGTCATTAATAAATTGTATATTATTATATCAGTCATGAATAAGTGAAAGAGTGCCCAAGTTAACTACTTAACAATTAGACATGTATTTGTATTTATTTTGTGTTAATCAAGTTAAAATTATATATTTCAGTGGCGTTACAGAGGTTGATTTAATTAATATTCATAGTCAGAATTATAGCACACTACTGATTTCTTGAAGATTCAATATTTTTTTCGATTGAGCAAAGCAAAGTTTTTTATATCTACCTCCGCCTTTAAGATAAAAACTAATAATCGTGCCCTTGCATGGTTCCCGGCTTTCCAAAAAATGATTTTTTATTAAAATGCTTATTTTTGTTCCCAAAGTAGCCTATTTATTGCAATTTATTAAGTTACTCCGCTTTGTAATGAAATAAATGGAATTAATCGTGACATATTTTTAATTGTTTCCATCCGGAAATATAAACCAAAATGCCGTTTTGTTTTACGAAGTTACATATGAAAAATGTAAAAAGTTTTGTATTTGATTGCTTGATTTAAAAAAATTATAAAATTCTCAAAATATACTAAAATGTTATATAGAAATAGTAGCCCTCTTGGACTCCACTGACTAATTTCATTTTAGTAAGTAAAAAAATAAAAACTTTTATGGCGACAAATAAGAGTGACAAATTTTGCCAAAATCTGCAAAAAGCTGTTTGAGTAATTAATAGAAAACCGATTTTTTCTAAAAATTTTGATACTATCTCGAAAACAAAACGAGTTAGGGCACATATTTTTGCAAAATAAATATACTCTTAAATTTCAAAGCACCCCGTACAAGCATTTTTCTTTATTAAGGCTTGTCTAAGCTTCCAAGGTCTGTGAACAAACACAAAGAGAGTGGTAAAGTTTGGTGTCAGGTTTGGGGGCCACGCAATTGTTTTTGATAGCTCATAATTAATAACCACAAAAATGATCTTTTCTATTTTTTTCTCTCAAACCTCGTGACCCTTGCGACATAAAATAAACTTTCAATGTATATACATTTTTGCAATCGAGGAAAAAAAAACCCTAACGCAATGAAACCGCTCTCAGAACCGGCTCGTATATAATATGATATTGATAGACTGTCAAAATTTTGGGGATTTCGGTCGAAAGCTCGGTTGCCGCGTAAATAACACCGCCATCAAAAGATTCTCCTGCTAGAGCCCTTAACTATATCAACTCGGATTCTCTCGACACCCGAATAATACAGTTAACGGGATTACACCTTATTCACTTCCCCAAAGATTTTTTCTGTGTATCCGTTCCTATCGCTTCTATAAAATTGATGGAACTGACGTACTGCAGTGAAATTTTACGAACATATTCCACTGGTTTTAAGAAATATGACGATCTGTGCAAATTAATTCGTTGGTGTTTGATTTGGTGTTATCAAATGTTAGTAGGCGTTTTTACACGACCTTTTGATACGCGTCTGACCAAGATTAAACACGTATTTATTGAGCACAAGCAAATAGTGGCTTTTTCTCGCTTGTAGTGAGACACTTTTTTGCTTATTTGCACTAACAACATCAATTACGACGGATCATAGGTTTAGTAGCGACAGTGTTTTCAACTCGACGACCCTGAGGTTGGATCCGAGCGCTTCGATAGGTCGAAGGTTGAGCAAGGACGCCTCCACATTTCTATCCAGTTCTCCGCCTGACATTAACAGTAGAAGGTCGAGTTACCTCGATATAATTAGTTCCAGTAGCAAATTGTCAGGTAAATTGACACAATTTGAGCTTCGTTATGTTTTTAAACAATTTTTCTTCTGGCTTTCAATCTGATCGAGTAATTATATAAGATGGCGGAGGGTTATCCAAACCAAACTACATTTTTTTTTGCATCATTATTGTTCCAATATTTTCAAGAATGTATAAAAACATGTTGAAATGTTCCAGAAACTCATATCATAAGGTCCTACAAATACCAACAAAATATTGATATGTGGGCTGTCATTTTTGATGACATTAAAACAATGATAAAAAAATCGACGAAGTTTAGGGCAAAGATCAATTAAGAAAATATTTTCGAAAGGATTTTAGCTATACACAGGAAGTTTGGTTAATCCTCCACTATTTTTTCGTGTTTCCGTGGAATAACTATATTCTACCTTTGACTTATTTTAAATTTCTAACTGTAAATATTTAGTATACAATAATACTATTGAAAAAATACATCCTGCTATTTTCAGATCAATTAATGTTAAAATGTTAGAACAAAACATTTTGAATTTCTAACTATATCAATTTTTGTAATTTTTATATTATACAATTATTAGGAAGAAAGTATTCTCTGATCACTAAATAATAATGTGTAAAGAAATTCAGCAACAATATATATATATATATATATATATATATATATATATATATATATATATATATATATATATATATATATATATATATATATATGTATATATATATATATATATATATATATATATATATATATATATATATATATATATATATATATATATATATATATATATGATGACACTATATTCCGGGATATCATCCGTTCGCTCGTTGAACTCCGACTGGAATCCTGCATCCGACTGGAATCCTGCAAATCTTGCATCCGACTGGAATCCTGCAGACGTTTCGCCAAAATCTCACTTGGCATCTTCAATGCTCGCGCTCCGAAAACACTTCGAACACTGAGTGTTCGAAGTGTTTTCGGAGCGCGAGCATTGAAGATGCCAAGTGAGATTTTGGCGAAACGTCTGCAGGATTCCAGTCGGATGCAAGATTTGCAGGATTCCAGTCGGATGCAGGATTCCAGTCGGAGTTCAACGAGCGAACGGATGATATCCCGGAATATAGTGTCATCACATTTTTCCATCCGTGAATCAATACGTGAGAATATATATATATATATATATATATATATATATATATATATATATATATATATATATATATATATATATATATATATATATATATATATATATATATATATATATATATATATATATATATATATATATATAATTAAATTTATTTTAATAAATAAAAATTAAATTAAATCGAACAACAGAAATACACATAATTTTTCAAAGAAACTTCCGCAATGTAATACTATTGCTATAAATCATACTTGCTGAGGTTTAGTTATGGTTAGTTAACTGAAACTGGCTCCCATTCCACTCGGTACTTGCTTATCTATTGTTTGAAGGAGGTTTAGTGAGTCGAGGTTAAGATTGATTTCTATAAATTCTCGGATTTTTTGTGCAAGAATTTTAGCTTTTTCAAATATGATTAGATTTGTGATTTCACGACTGTGTTCGGCAAGTGCTGATGAGTTTTGGTTAGTTTTGGTTAGTTTCATATTCTTTGAGCCTACTTGCGCCTAGTCTCTCCAATGTATTCAACAGAATTTTGCCTTTGCCGTTCTAAAGATGTTGAGAAATTTTTGGACAAGTGGTAAATCTGGTTAGTAATTGAAGTAGTAATAAAGTAAAGTAGTTAGGTTATGTTTTGAATGTTAGGAAGGATAGCAGTGACAAGTGCACGGTTGCTTTCGGATCATTGTCTGGGATGTGGTGAAGTGTATCTTGTGATGGAAATTATCAGAGAGAATAGGGTGTTTTAATTCGGGGTTCTGTGACTCTGGCTGAGATAGCTTTTGCGACTTTGTAAACAAGTGATATGACAATGCATTAATGCATCCGTCTGTGTGCGTAGGTTTTCTATAAACAGAATAACCCAATGTTAGGTCTGATTTTCTCTTGATATCTTATTAGCGTCCAATTCAATAGTAAAACGTATGTTAAGGTGTATAGAGTGCAAATGACTAACAAAATCTCGAATACGAGCCAGTTTTAGTTAAGTCCTGATGAAGCCAACAGGATGATTATGTAACGTTAAAAAACTCCCTTTTTTTGTAGGTAAAAGTCCGATTTTATCCATCGAAAATATCTCCGATTGCGGATCAACGAGATCGGCAGAACCACTTCGAAAACTTTCCGATTCCGAGAGCATAGGTAGAAAACTAGCCACTCTACCGAGGTACCAAGAAACCGTCGACAAGCACCGCCTGCAGCCGCAGTATAGTCTGACGATTGGAAAAAGCGACGAAACGTTGACAGCGACCGATCAAGTAAATTTGTTAACCGCAATATTTATTTATTTAATATAATAGCAAACCACCGAGGAAACAACAACATTGTTCCTCTTTTTCTTTTTTCTTGCCTCCTGTCACTGGACAGCTTTCCAGCCAACAGCATTGTTTAAAAGTATGGGAAACAGCTCTTGATTCAATAAAAAAAATGAAGAAATTCATGATTTTTTCCTTTTAGGAAAAAGATAAATAAATTTAGGAAATATTTTTTTGGGAATTTTACCATGAAGCTTTCGCAACTTACCAACGCAGGTGGTTTTAGTGAAACTTTGTTTATGTCAACTAGAAGCACCTGTACAATATCAGGCCCAAAAGGGAAAAATAAATTGCCCCTCGAATTTTAGTGCTTTTTGAATGAAGTTTGTATCAACTTCATTGAAAATATTTCTGATTTTAGAAATTTGCATATATAAAAAATGTATTGTGAACTTATATCCACTTGAGAATTCACCGATTCCGCTTTTCTTTCTTGCGTCTGTTTATACAAATGTTGTTGGTATAGCCGTTTTTGAAATAACTCAAGTTTTTTATTCAAAAGTAAAATTTAGTAATCATTGCCTTGAAAAAGGAAAGTGTTAAGTATAGTTTTTAATTCCAACAGTGACCCCTAATCTCCATCGTTTTTGCTCTGTAGCTGAATAGATTTTTTCTTAACTCATGATTGCTCTCCAAACAAAGTTGTAATGGTTTCTGACTCTTTTTAATTTTTTCATTTTTTTTTTATATTCAAATATTCATATTTTCTGGACTATCCTAACATATTTTATTTTTTAAGTAACCCCATAAGAATAGGTCAAAGGGATTTACATTCGGCGCCCATCTACGAGTGCCTTATTATCCAAAACTCACATTTTTCCTTCCTTCCTCCTCGAAAATAAGTTAATTTTGAATCGCCCAAGGTGGTTTCATTAGTGAAAGTGATTTTGTTCAAAAAATGCACATCATTCTGAAGATTTCCAATCATGAAATTGAATCTTTTCAGCGTCGGTTAAATTTTGTACTGCCAACACTTTCTAAGAGTAGGAAAATTATTTTTTGTTTTTAATCATCCGAAAAACCAATATTATAATTATATCAAATTATAATTAGTCGTCGTAACACTATTAATAACTGTGTGGTTGCCACCAAATCTGATAATTAATGTTTTGTTTTCCAGAGCAATAATGATGTTGATCATTATATTTTCCTTTTGAATAATAAACTCAACAAATACCGACGAATTATATATTTTAGGACTTTCACGGTAAGTAAAAATAAAAACACTATAAAAACTTTGTGTCTCCTTTAATAAAATCTGTAGGTGAGTCTGAAAAATAAAAAGTGTAAGTGAAACCTGAAGCTGAAGTTAAGGTATCTATGCTTGTCGCAATGTCAAAATATTACCTATATCGTTAACGTTGTATGATAATTAATGAAATATTAACACTGCAATTCTATCTCTTTCTGTGTTATACTGCTGGAATTTTGATGATGCCGTTACCACTTATGTTTTTCAGCCGGTGTCGTCGGCCAAAAGTTTCAACGGCATCGATAAGCTTGATCACAAGAGTAATCTATCAGACGATGAGATCGCGCGTAGGAACAAGGAGACCATCAATCAGCTTCAGGTGCAATTACAGGGAAGCAAGGGCAAAAAATCGAACAGCGACAATAATAAAACCGTGTGCAATACGAATCCCCAGATCAGGATCGAGGTCGCGGAGGAAGATGCCGACAAAGTGGAGACGAAGAGAAAAAATCCCCCGCTGTCGAGAAAGCATAAGACGAGGTATTTGTCTCACATTTACTTCAAGATTTTTATGTAAAATATTTTACTTATTACGCGTGTGGCCTGTGAACAACCAAAACAATCAAATCAAATCAGAACAATCAATAAAGTCCAAAAAAAGCTCCTATATGAATTTGAAAATAATTTTTCATGGATAAACAAAAGTTTTAGTTCGATTCGAAGTTAGGCTCAAATTCTCTTAGGCATCAAAGTTTGGGAGAGTCTACCCAAAATTCTGGAAGTTCGGATGCGCCTAGAAGAAATAAGCTACAAGAACAGTCGAAGTCGCTAGATAGCGGTTCGACGAAACCCGGCCGGCCTAGATCGAGATCTCGGCATGCCGAGGAAGATTTGCCTCCTGCTCCGCCCCCTCCAAATTGCTCACCAAGAAATTCGAACGGTAAGTTACCAAATTGTTAGATCACGAAGCCTTTGTGAATCATTAGCTCTCTCAGAAGTATTATAGACTAGTTCAGAAAATTGTAGAGTTATAAGTTACGCTCAATTTCGGAGTCGGTTATAGCCGTAGGTATACTTTACAACAGAGTACACTTTAATGACAGTATAATTAAAAGTTTTCAAAAAACACCATTTACAAATCTTCTGGATTTCTCGTTCGTCGGTTATTGAGCTTAATTGAAACTGTTTCAGTTTCAGTTAAACTCTGAAGAAGACAACAGGACGATTTTCGAAAAGTTATCAAGTTCGATTCGAGAATATTTGTAAATAGTATTCGAATAAAATAAAAACATTATAATGGTAGCGCTTTTGCAAGTATATTTGCTTAGTTATTGGTGTTAGGCCGTAGTGTTCGCAGTATTAGAAAATGAGTAATGAAACAGCAACATTTATTTTGGCCAGAATGACAGTTAAATGGCAGAAAACTTTTATGGACTAAGCATTTTTACTGGAAGGCTTGGAAATTGTTAGCTAGGAGCGGAAGTACTTGAGAAGTAGAAAGCAGTATCGAAGAGCAGAACAAAGTCTTTTATCTTGATAGGACGTGGTTTAATGAAGGTTATATAGTACCAAACACGTGACAAGACAAAAATCTAGCTCGCCAAGCTTTTATACAAGGCCTAATGACGAGTAATAAAATTTACTAAGCTTTCAATGTTTTTGAAGACTGTTTTGGTGAATTGATAAAATGATAAATACCTTACGGCTGATTCAGTAGTAGTTCATGACGCATCCTACTTCATCTTGGAGAAAACAAGAAATAATCGAAAAATATTTAATCGGAATATAATTTGATAAAGACGAAACTACATTCTCTGGCAAAAAAATATTGCCACAATTTTTGGATAAGATTTTATGGTTGCGTTTTAATTTTTCATCCGATATTCTGGATTTTTTATCAGTTGGGAAAACCATTTATTTGAATTGTTCTTAGTCATTTTAATAACAGTTTTAATACAAAGTAAACCAAAATGTTGATTTTACGTGTTACGTTTACAATTAAACGGTAATGTAATTAACAAAAACAATTTTAATAGTATATATTTCCCCCTCACGCAGCAATCACATCTTCTAGTATTCGTGGCATCGAATGCATAAGATTAGATATTCTTCTTTGAGGAATAATAAATATTTCATCTTCTTCCATCAACCCCAGACACGACTCTTGCAATATTTGTGTTCGCATATACATGGCTGTTAGGGATTAGATCCGGGCTGCATCCTAAACTTGGCAATCCAACTTGTAAATACCTATTCCAAACATCTGGAACTGTGGAACTGTGAAGAAAGGAATTTTCAGGGAACGAGAGATATAACTTTTACTACGGCCATCCTAAATTAAAGCAACAATTCGACTTACCTCTGCGATAGTAAAGACCACGATCACAACTGAATAAAATATTACGATACTGTCATCATTCTGTGACAAGAATCACATACCTAGTCAATGTCGATTATTTTTAACTGATAACATAGCAACAGCAATGTACAGTAAAATTATCAGCGGTTGATTAAAAAACTAGCATTTCAGGTAAGGACTGAGATAATGGTATGATTCAAAAAACATGTTGGAATATATAAATATTCCTGCAAACAGTTTATAAACCAAATTATCGTCCTCATTTTTCCACCCGGTATGATACTGTCCTGCACGAAGAATATTACTTTCTAAAATTACTAAGAACAATTGAAATAAACAGATTTCCTAACTGGTGAACAAAATAAAAAAAAATTATAAACTAAATGTTTTGCGGGAGGAGTGTATACAGTATGAAAATTAACTTATCGCTTACAGGGCGTTCGTAAGATAGGACCCAATTGGTAACACATAAAAATCCATGTTACGTGAGGATTTTAAATGGAATACCTCATATTTTATATTGGCAAGTAAATGAGCAATTAATTTGCCGTCTAAAAGCACTAAAGCATGGTATGCGTGGCAACACCGCAAGGCCAAAATTATTTTATATATGTAGCCAACATTTTACCGTAAGTCATCCTTCACAAACGTCTAATAGGAGACTCACCGTGAATAACCCTGTATATAGCAAAACATATTATCATCGTCAAATCATCGCAAACTAAATTCTATATGGGTGAAAGGATTTGTAGCAAGACACGACATCCAAAATGAAAACGCCTTCAGCTATTGTTTGGCCAACCCACTGAGGAAGTGAGCACTAGAGAGCTGGCGAAAAGCAGTCCAGTATGTCATTAAAGAAGATCAGAAAATGTAGGATCTTGATTTCTTGATCGATCCGTTAGTTATAACGCCAGGAGGAGATGACGGTTCTTCAGATAACAAAGAACATTATTAAAACGTGCATTATTCCTAACTACGTACTTCCCAACTTTTATTCTGTTGAAATAAAGTTCTTTCCTTTTTGCAAGTATCCTACCGAGAAGCCTGTAGCAGACCATTGTCATTATTGGTTAGTGGTTAGTGGCAAAAGCCACAAATTGACTCAAACGCGATTACTACTGCATACACTCGATAAAAGGAAAGAATTTTCCTTCAATATCAATCGGGGTTTTTTACTCTACACTTTTTTCATCACTTTGTTTATCTTCCCTTCTCCCCCAAGAATAATCTTTTACTGTAATTAGCCATTCAATAATATTAGGACATTGAGGTCTTTCTTACTTAATTATCAGTTTCATTTTCAGGCAAGTCGCCCCTAGAACGTTTGTCCAAAGAAGAGCTCGTGCGATTGTGGAGAAGTTCCGAATCGGAACTCAGAAGTCATCTGTTAAAAGCTATAAGGGATAAAGAGGAACCGTCGGATCCGACTTGAGAAATACCGGGCGACGTCTTTGATGAATTTGGAAAGTGAAAAAATTTGGAAAGTTTCTTCCGCTCGTCGCGGTGATTTTTGAGGGTCGTTCGGCATCACGTTATCAGACGACACAGTTTCAGAATCATCTGACCATCCACTGTTTTAAAAAAAGTTAAAGGAAACCAAAAATTTTAAAAAACGTAGAATTTTAGTCTTTAAATCGTTGTCGTCGATAGAAATGAACTTATTGGTACCTACTTTAAAAAGGCCTTAGATAGTAGAGTGATATTTTAAAATTAAAAAAAAAACATGACCACTGTGTGTTATTAGGTAGCCTTTATTCTTGGGGGGTTGCGATACTATTGACCCCACCGCCTTTTTCTAGGACTGGTTCTGTATATTTACATTTATTTTTTAAGACGTATCAGATATATTGCGTTGTATAAATTTAATAATATATACTGCCAAATTATATTTAGGTTTTCTTAAGAGAGATTGCGGTGATAACAAAGTCTTATGCCATTCCATTGATAATTTAGCGACTGTTAAGGTTTCGATGCTTTAAAAAAAAAAAATTAACGTCGTCGTGTGACAAAGTTGCGTTTGCAAGAGAGTGCATAAAATCACAAATTTTCATTGTTGAAATGAATTTAAAATGAAACCGAGAATTATGGGTCCAATTGAATCGGAAAAATGTACGATGTTGATAGTTAAATAATATTTGGGTTTGGTGTTAATTTCAATATCAAGCAAAGACATTACATCCAAAGGAGCATCGAGAATTCATTCATAAAATGGGACAAAACCGGCAGTTAACATAAACAACCAATTGCGAATGACCTATTTCTCGTATTTGTTTGTTTGATAGGTTAGATCTTCCATGATTTGATTCAGTCAACAGGGAACTTGAACATTTTTTTTATTTCCTGACGTATAGAAATAACGCATACCAAATATCAAAACTCAAAACACAATATTTAGGTTGCAATAAATAATTGAAGTTGTGCCAGCCCGCGATTCCATTTAAACTACACTAAACGCACGGGAATAATCGTGACGTCATACCGCTGCTTATAGGTCGAGAATTCTATTATGTACGTTATTTTTTGGCTCGTGTAAAGGTGTGTTTGTATTTAATCTACGCTAGTTTGCATTTGTGCTTAGTGTGCTTTACATGATAATAATGGAAGCAACACAAAAACAATATTACGTAAGATGCGAGATAAACCTTTTATTCGTCTACCAGAAAAAATTCGTTCAGGCGTCACTGTAGCCTTATCCGTGCAAACATTTTTTAATCTTTGAAATTGCACCCATCCTATTGCAGTCTCCTTAGGAATGGCTTCCTGATCAATATAAAATGAAGAACACTTTAAGTAAAATTATATATTTTAAAATCAGTAATTAGTTTTCCAAGAGTTAAAAAAATCCCTTTTGTTTTTTTTTTGTTGAATAATTTACATTTTATTTGATATAGCATTTCAATTTTGAAAACTAGAAAACTATAAGCTGATTAGAACATTATGTTGGTTTAAAACTAGTAGCTAAATTTTCTATGAACGTGCCTTTTAGCTCTAACACCGCGAACCTGAGCAAAAGAATAACTTTCGGTGTTTTTTTATGTAAGATGTCACCATCAACATCTCCACTAAAGATAAATTATCATATTCACACAAGATAACAGAAGTAAGCGACAGGATCAATAATAAAATTAAAATTAAAACCACCAAGACGAACGCATTGTCTTTCTCATAAACTAGTCTAACGAGCGAATTGACGTCGCAACCGGTCACAGCCGGTGACAGCGCGTTTAGAAGAGAATATAAATTTTTCAATTTTTAATTGCTTTTGTTTGTTACATAGAATCACGAAAATATTTTTTTATGTGAAATGTGGTTCTTTTAATAGTATACATTTACCTTTATAAGCAATATTTTTGAAATCAAAATTGTCAAATTGAAATTGAAATGTCAAAATTTCCAGTTTATCCCGTGCGATGGCAATGTAGGTGTAGCTTATCTTTGAACACTAAACTTGGAATGATCATAACTGGTTATTCCTCACAGTAAACAGCACGAAACTATTTAAAATAACCAACACCAACCGAACAACGAAAATTATGATCAGCTTGTCGCGTCTCTTGGATATAATGTCTTTGTGGTTCCCAATTGCGTAAAAAGCAATTGCCATTTCGCTTGCTGAAATAATGGCTGCCATCTTTAGCAAGCAACGACGATAAAAATTCTTATTATACGAATATCAGAGTAAAGCTGTTGCCCGAAATAATGCCTGTCATCTGTCAAAATTGTCTTTTTCTTTCCGTTACATATGGTTAGGTTGGTGGAATTAAACAATTAACGAAGGTGAGAAAATTCTTATCCCGCAAATATAATAAATAAATATGGGTAACTAGTTGCCCGTTTGTCATGAAAGGACACCTTATCTCAAAATCTGTAAAAAGTATTTTAAAAAATGTTTGTATTCATTTTACGTTTAAAACAGAACATTATTATCCATTAGTATCCTTAATTTAATAGAACTTCCTGTTTATTAAGATAATTCAGAATTTCTCGACATATTTTCTACCTAAAACTTTAAATAAATTTATATGAAAAAGTACTTTTTCTCAAGTAGAAACTACTAATTTTTGTTTTTTTTTGTCGTTTTTATACAGTTGAGTATTAGTAAAAGTGAATCCAAATCACTTTTGTGTTTATGTTGATGTTTTGTTGATATCTTCTACAGGTTTTGAGATCAGGTGGCCCATAGTAAACCCCTTGTTTGGAAAGAGTCAATTTTGGTGATGTCGAAACTATTGAAAACACATCTTGTTTTTGAACTGAGGTGGCTTTTACTTCATGAAAATCCATTTATCAAAATAAAGAAGAACTAGAAGTTCAGATTTTCACGAAATTATATATTATGACATGACAATTGTTTCGACAACACCGTGTCTTTATCAAATGTGATCACATTTGATAAAGACACGGTGTTGTCAAAACAATTGTCATGTCATAATATATAATTTCGTGAAAATCTGAACTTTTAGTTCTTATTTATTTTCATCTTGTTTTTATTATTTCTACGAACTGTTGCCAAAAATATATTTTATTCAAATCTGATATTAAAAAAATTATGTATTATGCGGACTTTTTGAGTGATATCAACCCTTGCCTAACCAAACCTTGGTGTGTATTGAAATTCCGTAGTCCGAGATTTATATACAACAAGAAATTACGATGTCTCCGCCTGGTTAGTAAAACGAAATCAGAAAATTATAAGGAAACTGATACAACGAAAGTAGAGAGTAGACCATTGAAAGAATATTTGTGCACTCTATTACTGACTTTCGATAACTTACGGTAGGAGTTGTTTTACGGTAATTTTTCGAACCTGGGTTAGTCAAACGTCGAAAGATAATTAAATGTGCAACATTAAAATGGTGCGAGTCAATTGAAAATGGATTTTCTCCGTCTATTTATTAGACCTTAAGATTTCTCTATCCTATTGTTGGTATTTTAAAGTTTATTGGAATTGATTAATTACATGTAATATTTAGCGAAGTAATATTGTTAAGTAAAATATTCCCTGTCGATTATGATCCGACCCGTTTGAGTTCGCATCTGCATACCGGAATATTCCTAAATAACGAAACAACACCAAAACAAAAGGAAAACGCGCTCGCTTAAAAAATACAAAAAAAAGATGTTTTTTTTTTGTAAAATATTTTATACTTAACGCGTTATATTTCGTCAATTAGGCGATTCATAGAGCAAAAGTTTTAAGAATTAGGTATACTAGGATTTTAACGACTTTGAAAACGTCACAAAAGCATTCTAATACGCGCATGAAGGTTTTCAAGAGTCGATTTTGCGGTCGGTGAAATTCCTTAAAGTTTTAACGTTACTAGTTTTAAAAGCACAAAATTACCCACTAAGGATGAACTTTTAATATACATGGAATATTTTAAACATATATTTTGTACATATTGTAAATAGTCATCACGCTAAAACGAACACAGATTTGTAAATTAAAGCTAATTTAAAAAAATTATTGTTGAAAAAGTATATGATCTTAGAAGAAAATCTACCGTGTTTTATTAACCTTTACCCACCTATATTTAATGATGACCTTCAAACTTTAAATCAGATGTCTCAAGACCACAACTTAAAACTTAATCCAAGTAAATCATGTGTTATGGTGTTTGGGAATGATAAGAATGTTAACTTCCTAAACAAAAAATTAAACCAGTATAAAAAACACCTAAAAAAAGATTTCAAAAATCTTTTTTTAAGTAAACAACTGAAACGAAGTCTGTGTGGCTCCCTGGTCCTCTCTAATTTCAATTATTGTGACTTTGTCGATGGTTTTTGTTTACATCAGGAAAGTAAAAAGCCTGTCCGAGAGTACAGAATGCAAGTATTAGGTTTGTCTATGGTATGAGGAAATTTGATCATGTATCACACTTATAAAATGATACAAAATGGCTCAAAATGAATTAGCGAAGAATCCACTTCTCCACATTTCTCCACATTTTTGTCTAAATTAATAAAAAACCCTAATTCGCCAGTTTCCATTAAAAATCGCTTAATATTTCGTAAATAATGCCAAACTTACGATGCCACATAATAACACCGCAATCTTTCAGCGCTCATCTTCATACAACACCGTAAAGTATTTTAACTTAATTTCAACCAGTTTCTTGACATGTCATTACATAATTTCAAAATAAAATATAAAAAATATCTTCTAACTCTCAATTGGCTTAAACTAAAATTATGTTATGTGTTACATATTATAAAACCAATTAATTCTCCTTCAATGTTATAACCTAAAAGTTAGGTATATAAATGTATATAATTTGTTTTTTCTGTAACTTATTTCCACAGTGTATAATTACAGTAATTTCTATAGGTAAAATTTTGCACCAAAGTTGGATAGGAAATTGTAATTATTTCCTTGTAATAACTTTGTCATAATAATAATAATAATAATAATTATTGTTATTATTATTAATTATTATTATTATTATTATTATTATTATTATTATTATTATTATTATTATTATTATTATTATTATTATCGTTATTATTATTATTATTATTATTAATATTATTATTATTATTATATGACTCTGATAATGCAGCCAATATTGGTTTAGTGAGGTAAGTTTTTGCTTGGGGTGAGATGGATAGTAATATAGTATATAGTATACACATAATATAAACGTGCATGTAATAAAATATTTTTGTATTTATTTCTCAATTATCCCATGTAGATGTTTTTTAGGGCTAAGTCTTTTGTTTTGTTTGTGAAAACATTTCAGTCTTTTATCCCTCCTCAAATTAATTGGTTATGGTATATTTGTGATGATTGTGATATATGATCGGAAAATATACAGTGTATTAGTTAAATGACATCATATAATTGAATAAATGATTCTTGTAGTCGAGGCTCGAATAGCGAACTCGTTAATTCAAAAACTTCGTATATAATGATAGCGGTAAGGCAGGTAATAAGGTTTGTCAGGGTGCCAGGTTGCCAAATTCTTCAACCTTGCATTTAATAAATTCAAATATGAAAAAAAAAACTGATTCAGTGGACTTATTATTTTGTCTACTGACACTACCAATGATTGCCGAATAATTTTTTAGGACAATCGCATAAATTCAAATATATAAATAAAAGTTGGTGTTAACCAACCAAATTTGGCCACAATTAGTTTAATGTATCAAAATATGATTAATTATTAATTTGTATCCATTATAAAAACTTATAACAGAAGACAGAAGTGAGTATACATCGATTACATCATCCGTAATTGTAATTGAAATTGACCAGACGACGCTTAAAAAAGGGGTGCAAAAATTAAAAAATGGATGAGCTGAAGGTTATGGAAGTTCTTACAGGAAACCTACTTTACCCTCACTTTCATAAGTGACTTCAAATAAATTTACAATGCATCGATGTCAGCAATAAAAGTAGGTAACAGATTATCACATCAGTTTCATGTAAATAAAGGACTACGTCAGGGATGCAGCATATCACCCATACTCTTTAAGATATATGTTGCACAAGTCTTAAAGCACTGGAAAAGGAAATGTCATGGAATGGGAATGGGTGATAATCAAGTGATAATAGCAAATGAAAAAGATGCAATAAATGTTGCGAAAACTGAAAGAAAAATACAGTAAATGGAGCTTAGAACTCAATACCCATGGGAGAGAAAACTTTTAATATCCAACGAAATCGGATGAAATTGGATAATGTAACTAATACACATATCTGCGAATTGATTTTGACACAACGGGTACAGATGACGGGGAAATTAGTAAGCGAATAAAGCAAGCAAGACGAGTAGTCTGCTTTATGGCGCAGAGACGTGGAGAGTCACAGAAAGTAATAGAAGAGAGCTGGATGGTACAGAAATGGATGTATTCAGAAGATCACTAGGAATATCCAGAAAAGAAAGAATTCGAAACAAATAATGGGAGTAAAGAGTTCTTTAACAACTGACATTGAAAGAAAGCAACTCGTATGGTATGGCCATGTCCAAAGAATGGATCCTGGAAACCGTAGAAAAACTGGAAAACTAAAAGAGATCTGGAAAGGAGCGTCGAAGGCAAAGATTCCATCAAAGGTTTTTGCTCCTTTTTACTAATTAATTAATATAGCTGCAATTGGTAAGCAAAATATAAGACGAGTCATAACAAAAACACACATAAACCGTGCATGATAGGTAGCCTAATTAGGTTTTGCAGAATGTTTATCGAAATTATCATTAAAATAAAACCGTGTAAAAATATGTTGGTATATAAAAAGCTCGATAGAAAGTATTTCCATGTGAGAGCCAGAAATTATTTGCAAATTAACAAAATTCGATATAGGAAAACTTAAATATTTCAAATTTGTAATTTTGAAAAAGGTTTTTACGAAACTGGATTATCATAAATTTTAATTCCAGCAATTATTTTTAGAAAATATTGTTTGATGAGCTAGCCACTTCTGAGTAATTTAAATAAAAATATAAAATGATAAAATAATTATATAAATAAGCAAGAGAAAGACAACAGTCGCCATTACTAGCCGCAACTCGCCTGAGATTTCGCTTGTCTACTTATGACAGGTTTCGTAGTTGACGTATGAAAGTTTAAAAAAAATAAAAATTGGTATGAATCGCGAAGGAACCACGAGAATTCGAATCGCGACTCTGGTTATTATTTTCGCAATTGCCATAAGAGCTTCATATCAGCAAGATTCAAATGTTTCAAGTGTAGACGCGGATGGAAAATGGGGTAAGTTATCCAGCACAACGTCGAGAGACAACAAACGTTTTGCGATATTTTAGAATATTTCAGCAAATGCTATGACGAAATAGGTTGCGTAAGGACCGATTCAAACTGGTATGACGAGAAATTCAGGCCAGTCAATTTGAAACCAGTAGACCGCAGAATTATCAAAACTGATTTCGTCTTTATCAAACTCAACAGAACCAAGGTACCAGATGTAGAGCTACCCCAGAGTCTAGAACTGATAGCTTGATCGTCAAATTAATTAACAATTGTATAGTCTGTCTCATTCTACATCGATTTGGCTTTCGACGGCCAATAAAACTTTAACGATGTTATTGGGTAAAGCCATTAATAAAAAATTCATTCTTACTTGAGTGACAAGGCAGGGTATTTCTTCCTTTCTGATATATTTGTTGAGTGTTGACCATTTGTGGCCGTTTTGAATAATCGTTTTTAGTGTGCATTTCGAAAAAGTTATTTTAAAAAATCATTTGTCGCCGATATCGTCGATAAGGGATGTTATTAATGATGGAGAAATAAAGAGAAGGAATACACGCAGTGAATTTTAAACTCGCCGTATGGACAATAGTGAACAGGACCGAATAAGAAGGAAAATATATTGTCTTTATCAAAGCGAAGTCGTTTCTACCTTCGATAAATTGAGAACGAAGCTAGAACAAGATGAAACCAATATAAATATAAGATAGATAGATTACGCACTTTTTTTTTATCTTAAAGAAATTAAAAGATAATTTACCTTGATCAATGATGGGTTGATTACATTCAAAACTAGCAGACGAATACACCTTCAAATAAAGGAAAACGCATCACCATAATACACGCTGGGTCACACGCTGCCACAGCCGCCTGCTGCGCAAAGCACCAGCCTCATCAAGTTCAAAAGGAATATATGCAATTTAAAAACAGTACGTGTGCGATAACTTGGCTGAACAGTCTGAGCACACTGTTTTACGTCTTCCTCCATATGCATGTTTAACCCCATAGGGCATTTGTTGAACCAAGTAAAATCAAAGTCAGACAAGTAACGATTTACTCCTATTTTAAGTCCCATTGTTATAAAATTTGATAAAAAAATGTAATTAATAAAACACCAATTGAGAGCAGCAAAAATTCAGCACAGCGCATTATAAAAATTGAGGGTTCTTACATTGATTCATTGATGGTGAAACAGATTAAGATTAGATAATCAGAAAAAAAATGTAATTATGTATAGATATTCCTATTTACGAATTTATTGTAAATACTAAATGTCATTGCTTATTCTTAGTGTTAAGAACAATGAAGATTGAGAGAGACTATACATACTAAATGTACCTTTCAAAATCTTCACAAAATCATATATGCTCTCTAATCCGTTTTAATTACTCTCTTATCACTGGGTGTCTTTTCAATCTACTGATTCTTACTGATCCGCGTATCAAACTCTCGTTTCAGGACGCAAGTTTAAAATTTGGTGTCGTCACTCCAGATGTCAAATCCATAAAAGGTTCAGGTTTTATCAAGAACGAAATTTTATATATTTTGATTCACGATTTTACTAGCAACGGCTACACTGGTTGGATAAAGGTAAATTTTATTTGAGAATGTTGGTTAACATTTTCATATTCATAATTACTCCTATTCTGAAAACGATATTGACGAGTTTGAAAGAAATATTTTTCAGGTTTTTGATTAATCAATTAAATAGATATACACAGGAAAAAAATCGTTTTCATTGTTTTTTTTTTTCACTTAAAAACTGGTGGTTTCAAATTTTGCAGCATATCTCGGAAATCTTGCTGGCGAGAAAATATGTCAACGTGGTATCCATAGATTGGCGTCACGGAGCGGAACCGCCATACGACCAGGCAGTCGCCAACGCGAGGGTTGTAGCCTTGGAAATTATTAACCTGATCAAAGTTTTGAGGGTCTTGAATATTTTCAACGAAAACAGGACTCTTTCGTGCAACTCGTCGGTTTTAGGAACACCTTTCTTTAGATCTAGAAAAGGTCCATATTATTGGGCACGGCGTTGGTGCCCATATCGCAGGCTACGTTGGCAGTGTCTTCGGGAAAATCAAAAAAATATCTGGTAGGATATTTCTCGGTAAACGGCGACAAATTCATTTTCGTTTCAAGGTTTGGATCCAAACGGACCTCGGTTCGAAGGAATGCCGGATATGGTTAGATTAGATCCTTCGGATGCGCAATACGTAGAAGTATTACACACAGACGCCTTCAGATGTAGGTATTGCATATCCCACGGGATGCGCATTACTAGTTTCAGTTATTTGATAGTTTGATATGATAAAAATAAAAAAACTGCACGCGTTAAAAGAAACAAAAGTGGTGCTGGAAATTGATATATATCTGATTCGCCTTTTAGCGGTCAGTAGAAGAGCTATAAGGGTTCTAGGACATTTTTAAATTTTTTGCAGCATAGCTCTATGATTGGTTAAGCTTTTTTTTGGTCGTTGACTGAAGTTCTGTTCCACCTTTTTCTTGATAATCGTTTGACCATCTCACAGGTATATTATGTAGTACGTTTTGAAAACTAAACTATTCATATTATGTTTGTGGTGCATTATGCAGGTACATATAAGCTTCCTTGTTCTACAAAAGTCAAGTACTCTCGATTAAGTACAGTATCTCTATCATGGGAAGTTTCTCGGGCTCAATGAATAGTCTTAATCGGCTTCACAGCTGATTAGGCGATGAATTGGAATTTTCTCCCTTCATAAACAGGTGTGTTTGTTCGAGTATTCTGTACAATATCGTAATCCAAAACTAAATTGGGTTTAATTTTTCAAAGAAACTTCTACAGGACACTATAATACAATTTACAAAACTTCTGGATTCACCCTGTGTCAGTTGTTGTTGAGTCGGCATCAGTTTCAGTTAAGCTCTGAAGAAGTCAATAGGATGATTGGCGAAACGTCAACAAGTTCGACTCAGCAGAAGCCGACGCAAGAAAAATCGAGAAGTTTTGTAAAGAATAAATTGAGTGTTATTTCGTAGGAGCTTTATTTCACTTGGTTTCTCAAACTCATCTTCATTATTTTTTCATAGTTAATTTCAGCTAATTTCAGCCAACTCATTCTCCCAAGCGTGTGAATTTCATATAATCATTAGATATTCAATAATTCATTATTAAATTGAAGTTGTTTTGTAGCGATTAGTCAAGGTTCCACCTACGCTTTTGGACACAGTGATTTTTTCCTGAACAATGCCAAGGAACAACCGGGATGTGCTGAAAAGGACAGTAAAAATATATTAACATTAAAACGCGATTCCGTCGGGGAAGGCACTATTGTCCCCGGCTGCAGTCACAAACGGTCTTTTAAATACTTTATAGAAGCCTTAGAAGAACGCGAATGCACTTTTTTGGGGATACAATGCGAAAATTATGAAAAATTTTCCAAAGTATTGTTTGACCGCGCGTTATAGCGACTGGCATTTACTGCACGCGTTTCAGGGAAAATGCGCCACCTGCGGGAGTAAATGTAAAACATTCGGTGGCGTGACGTATCACGATCCGGAACCCGCGAGTTATTTTCTGAATACAGGGATACAGTATCCATATTGCAGTTAGTAATTAATTACCTTCTTTTCTAAAGTTTATTGAATACTGAGTCCGGTTCTTTCTCAATTAAAGTTCTTGTTTACATATATCGATTTATTGCCCTCTGTCGAGCTTTCATAGACAATTCCAGCGTTCTACGTTTCCTTGAACGCAAACAGGACCGGGCCCAGTTCATTCGAGTTGCATGTAACAATATGGAAAAATATTTTAAGTGTATCCGTACCGGCTGACCGTGCACGTGGGTAAAAAGGGAAAATCGCAACATTACAATGGCCGTTTTGATTTACTCTTGGTTGACGTTGCGAGCTTGGTTGCTAGTTCTTCGATGCCGGAATCCGGGTACATTGCTTCTACTAAAATATAAATTCACCGACAAATTAATTGATACCCCCACAAATTTAACTGTCAATTACGAAAAGAACGATGAAATAACTCTGAGATAAATGACATATCCCTTGGATTTTGCTGATGATTTTTATTATCTCAAAGTATAAAAAAACATATATTTTGCTTTCATCTATCGCTGAGCTTTTAATATTTGTGGGCCAAAAATATCATAAGGATATTTTGATAATTTTTTAGAGAATTTGAAGCAGGTGTTAAGAATACATTCATCTTTTACGCCAAGGAACCTGAATTGGGATTTATCAGAGAAGCTAGGATCAAATGGATTAGTGATAAGAAAAAATTTTGTCTGTTTAACTGCCAGCAGCCAATTCACGTGGATAAGGTAGTCGTTAGCAGTCTGAAAAGGGATCCGAAACAAGAGTAAATATTACTGATCTTATCTTTAATCTTATCTATTCAGATATACACATTTGTGAGGGAACTAGCATTTTGGTTACTTCAATTATACATACTTTTTAAACTAAAACTAAGCAAATGGTGAAACTAATAACCAACAGAGATTTGAGTTCTGATGATTTATGACAAAACCTTACTTTTTTGGCGCAAATTAAGAGCGCCAGAAGAATTACTCAAAAAAAAATCATAAAAAAATTTACCAAGAGTATATAACTATAACTCATGTATCAAGTTAGTTGCACCTTTTTAACCAATTTTGAAAAAAAGTTGACCCGAAAATTTACGTTAAGTGTAACAATCGATGATGAGATTAGCAAACAAACACAATATCCTATTTACATTCAATAAAATAAAATACGAAATAAAATCTTCAGAGGTGTTTTTGAGTAAGAGCCATTGGGAATCTATTCTCATAGAATGTCCACCGAAGAGTTTGGTCTTCTACTTGTAAAAATCTACTATATTCTTTAACTACCAGGTCAGAATTTTTTTTTAATTTTATTCATTTTCTTACTTTTTTTTCCAATTCTTAGATTCTTAGATAAGTGTCACTATTTGTGTGTTTTTTTATATTTTTGTGTTACTTTTAATTTATTCTTTCTTTGCTTGCTTGCTGCAATTAAAACTAATGATAATAATAATTAAAATTTCAGAAAAGAAAGCGTGCTCTGCCCGAAAGGTAACCTTACGGAAATAGAGACGGGCGATTACCACATATTTTACCCTTGCTAAACGGTACGTAAAACGTGGCGAAATAAAACATTTTTCGGCATTTACATTGGTTTAATTTACACTAATTCACAAATTAATATACATTCCACAAACCACTTTTACTTGCCTCATCTACTCCTTTCTCATGTTGAATGTGCGACTAACCGAAAGGATCAGATGGTACCACAGAGATGTGCGAATATAATCCAAATTTTCATGCGTTGTCAAATAGCATCTAGGATTTCCACGGGATTAAAGTGTGAGACCGAATCATACAAAAATAATGGCGATTTAATTTATTGTGTTGATACCTGATACAGTTCGTGGCATTGTCGATAGTCTCAATGTTTTATTTCTTATACGAACGTGTGTGACCACAAAAACATTATAGCCAAAAAACCCGACAAACTCATATTGTGTGACTGAAGCAACGATCATGCATCTTTTGCTTGTAAATATTGGTTAACAAGCGTAATAACCAGTTACGATCTTTGTAACTTCAGCCAAATCAGCTTCAGCCAAATGAATTGTAGTGTCTTCTTCGGATATAATGTCTTTGGTAATCCGCAACAAAAGAAGTTTCGAAGTGTTCAATAATTTCGCACGCTAGCTAGGAAATAGTACTTGCCATTTCACCTGGACCAATAATGTTATAACAAACAGCATGTAGAAAATTAAATAAGCTGGCTTTTAATTACTACAATTAGTAGTTAGTTATTCACACCATTGGAAATGTTGCGCAAACTTTGAAGTCTCGTTAGATTTAGAAAAAAGACTTTTTTTTTATTTTAATATTTGGTAAGCGATAGTTTTTAGCCTAGACATCTAGGTGCGGATTGGAGAGAGCTAACGAAAATACGAAAGGCAATATAACAAACTTACAAATTAAAAAATAATGTAGAGCATTTAATGGTTCTTCAATAAATCAAATTAATTAAAGCCACTCGCCAGTATTAAAACTTAAAGCTACAAGTCTTGGGAATTGCGAACTTTTCACACCCCCGTCCAGGGTCTACGGTAACTTTTATTTCACAAATATATATTCTATATTTACATGTCCACCAATTATTATGTTCTCCGCAACAACGCCACGTCGTCGAAAGCTCTCTAATATTATCCTCTACAACAATAATGACAATTAACACAACTTTTGCGCCTCTTAGGCCTTAGATATGTGTAATGAACCTAATTAACACTAAAATAAAGGGAAATCTATTGTCTGGTTAAAACCATGTGCATCTAAAAGGGCGGTAGGAAGTCTTCCCGTAACAAATTTAAGGTCGAGTTATACGACGGCACAAAAAAGAACCGAGCGAAACCGTGAAAAATGGCAACAACGTAACTACACAAACTTAAAACACGTATAACAACAATAATTTCATTTCTATTCTAAAATATTCATAATCTAGACTTTGATAATGTTTCGTGTCTACTTTAGCGTGGAAAACACGTTGTTTATATAAAACGATTTTAGCGAGATTTTGTTTTTTGAAAATATACAAATTATGTTCCTAATATTGACATTACTCTCTTGGATTTGGTAGTTATAGGTACAATGTGAAAGGTTCCTTTTACTCTTTTTGTTTTTGGAATCAAAATAATGAACATCAAAGCAATTCCTATGGAACTCATTCGTTGAATCCTCGTTAAATATTCGCGTATTAGCTTTTAAATCGGAATTTGAACAGTTCTCGAGGAAAAACAAGCAAGGATCAAAAGTCAGTCTCAAATAATGACGGTCCGGTTACGAAAATAAGAAAAATGTTTCCCAAAATGAAGAAAATCTATAGTTTATTTGAGTAAGAACACGTTTAGTAAGACATTAGAATCATCCCGCGGGTTGAAGCAACAAATTGATTCTTTTGTAATGTGGTTGAAGGTTAGGATGTAAGAACATGAATACCTCAATGGGCGGTTAGAATGTTCCATCTAAACGAGATATTAACAATTACAATTCGCGGCTTGGGGTCCTTGGGTGGCATCCGTGAGCCGTTGCCCTTTAGCACCCCCGGCCATTAATGTGGGATCCGTGTCTAAGCTGTCGGACATCTTGTCGCAGATTATGTCGACCAGTCGTTCGAAAACAGCCTGAAATGATAAGTTGTCCTTTAAAATATTTCCACTATGCAAAAGCTTTTATGACCCCAGAACACAATTAATTTAAATCGACATTTAAATAGTTGGGCAGCCTTCCGTTTAACTTTAAATACTTTGGAATGATTGTATCGATGAAGTTATCTCCTTGCCAAATTAAACAACCTGTAAGTTAATAAGGTTTACAATTTCGCAAGTTTGTACTTTCGTATTCTTGTTTCAACGTTTCGACTGACGCACAAATTTGAATTAATTATGACCCCTTAATATTCTCCTAAATAAAGGATTACTAAACATACACCAGGATAGATAATACAGTGTGTCCAAGATAAGGATGCACAGCATGGGGATCTCGGAAACTATAAGAGATACAGTGTCGGTTAAATTAGACAAAAGTTGCGCATTTTGATACCGAACAAGATCCCGTTTTACAAATTTGAAAATTCCAAGCCGTTCCGGAAATATTCGAGAAAAACCGAAATATTGCGATTTCGTTTTTATTATTTTTTAAAGCTATTTGAAAAGATATGAAAAAACGGAAAACACTTTTCCATTAGCACTACAGCGTTTCGATTCCATGGAACCACCATCAACTTTGATTTTTCTTATGGGACGGAAAAAAAGTACACACAGTATTAGGTTGTGCTTTTCATTGCGAATTCAACGATGTACGATACAATACGGTTACTTATGTTTTTATCCAGAAAAATGGATTTTTAATACATTTCTAGTATTTTATTGTAGTAGGCCATGAGATCCGAAAGATGAAAGGCAAAAGAAAATGGTTGACAAGTCCGAGTTAATGTGTTTATTTATTTACTAACTCTTTATCATTTAACATAACAACTAAATCCAACAAGTTAATGAAAAACAAATTCTATAACAAATGTTCGAATAAATGACCTCCATTTTCTAGGCATAAGTACTCCCGTCTCACGGTAGACTCCAAAACACGACTTAACATTTCAGGAGTAATTTTATTAAACGCTGCTCGTACTGATTGTAAGGCTTAAATTCATTTTTCCTTAAAATAAACTGAGCTGTAGATTTAGCTACCCCATTCTGGACTTCAATTTCTCTGGTAGAAGTTTGTGGATTTTCGATAACAGATTGTAGAACAATGTATTGGTTTTCTTCATTGGAAGGTTTTTGTCGGGATAATGCAGGCTTCTTAAATGATCCATATTCTTTCAGATTAAATAACAAACGCCGAAAAATACTCTTGTCAGGTTGTCTCCGCTCTGGGTATTTGTTAGAATACATACGCTCGGCTTCCACACAATTTCTTTGGCATCAGATGTAGCAAGACAGCATATCACATTTTTCTTCGTTTGTAAAATTACCTCCCTCCATTGTAGAACAAAATAAATTAGAAAAAGACAACAACAATAAAAATACAAAAACAATAACTAAAGGAATAAACTTATGATCGACTGATAACAAAGACAAATAACATTAATGTGTCATTGAAATTGACTGGATGTCATTTTGTCATGGCCTACTCCATTTAAATGCTGAAATGTATTAAAAATCCATTTTTCTGGATAAAAACATAAGTAACCGTATTGTATCGTACATCGTTGAATTCGCAATGAAAAGCACAACCTAATACTGTGTGTACTTTTTTTCCGTCCCATAAGAAAAATCAAAGTTGATGGTTGTTCCATGGAATCGAAACGCTGTAATGAAAATTTGTTAACGTCAATTTGGAGAGATTAAAAAGTGCCAATGGAAAAGTGTTTTCCGTTTTTTTAAATAGCTTTAAAAAATAATAAAAACGAAATCGCAATATTTCGGTTTTTCTCGGATATTTCCGGAACGGCTTGGAATTTTCAAATTTGTAAAACGGGATCTTGTTCGGTATCAAAATGCGCAACTTTTGTCTAATTTAACCGACACTGTATCTCTTATAGTTTCCGAGATCCCCATGCTGTGCATCCTTATCTTGGACACACTGTATTTAACAGAAATGATACAGCTACAAAGAGGAAATTAATAAAGTTGTTCTATAAAGGTTTCAATTTGGCGGCCAAATTTGAACTGGTTTAATTTACGCTTCGACAAAATTCGATTGGAGATGTTGTGTCGCCATATTTTAATTTCCTGGTAATCGTCATGGAGCCAAAATAGAAACGCGACAAAATAATAAAAACGAAGTCTCAAAATTTCGTTCTGCTTGAAATTTACCAAGCCTAACCATATTAGTTTTGGATATAGCAACCTGAATTTTTCATGTAGGTATAAATATGTATAAAAAAACAACAGTATACTCGACACTTGCAAATAGTAATAAAAATATGCTACTAAATCATGTATATCATCACCGTGGGAAAACTTTTTTCATTGAAATAATTTTGATATTGGAAAATGTTTTTTTTGGTTAGATCGGTAGATTGACAACGGATGCAGGAGAAATCCAGAAGATTTGTAGGTAGTAGAAAATCCTTTAATCAGACAGTTTTCTTGGACTTGGACTTTTCATCAGATTTTTCTATAAAAATGTTTCTCTAATCTGTTTAAAGATATTCTGGTTTTTATTTCTGGTTCTTTCTTCTTTTGTTTTTGTTTTTTTTAGTCAATCGCTGATGCCAATAATTTTATTATCAATACATGTCGGTTTGGGGTGTTTTCTGTTTTAGAACACTCAATTGGTCAAACCCATGAAATCATTTCTTGTTTACAGAACTCCACCAGCATTGATTGCCATAATTTACTGCTTCTGTCAAATTATAACACTAGTAGTTGATATTGACTATAGCATAGAATAAATCTATATTTTTGCAAAAATGAGATACAAAAAAAAAATCTACGATAGTTTTATAGATATAGAGAGAGTGCCGGAAGTGAAGTCATCCAGGTTAATTCACGTAATATCTGGTGGATTGTCAAAATCAGACAGACTTTACTAGCATCTCCAGTACATTTTTTATATTAACATATTATGTGGGAGAAAAAATGACCTAATCTCATTTTTAAAATTTCTTAGACTGGAAATTTTGGATGTTTTTTATTACTTTTTACCCTATAAGCGCTCTAGTTATTAGCCGCTGTACTGTAATAACATTTTAGCAGTTTTTTTTTTAATATTTTATATCCACGTTGTATGAACCTTATGAAAATTCACTTTAAATGACTGTTCCATTTAAAATTCCACGCAATTTTACCGGCGGTAAAATGAGATGCAATTTGTAAAATTTAAATGCATGTAGTTTCCATTCTAGCTTTTAAGCCGCCTCTTTGTGATTAATCCAATAATTTGTTGCTGTAATGAACTTAGCCAGGTCAATCGAAACAATTTCGTTACGCACTCAGATCCAATATGAAGCCAATATACGGCCGTTTCTGAACTTCGTCATGTAAGGCGTACTCTAAACAGTGCCTTTGCAAAACCATTCGATTAAATTTACTAAAAATATGCCCTACCTTAACGTTAATGTTTTCTTTCGCGCTTGTCTCGAAAAATTCGACGCCAAGTTGTTCGGCTAGTTGCTTCCCCCGTTCAAAACTGATAACTCGTTCGTCCTCCATGTCGCACTTGTTTCCGACTAGGATCACTTGCGCGTTATCCCACGAGTATGTTTTTATCTGAGTTACCCTTGAAAATAAAAAAAGATGTTTCTTTAGTGTACTATGCAACAAGTGCGGTAAACGGTATTTGATGCATGAGTTTATTTAACACTAGCGGAGCGCAGCGGAGCGAATGTTTAATAAACGAGTGATTTAAACAGTTTTTCTACTCCCGTCTGTAAAATACCTAATTACACACCGATCTAGAGTGCGAGAAGCGTCAGCTTCGTTTCCCACGGATCTGATCCACTTCGGACATTTCAACGATTTTACCAAACGGGTTTGGGAGCAATCGGATGTTTTCGGAGATATTTCTCACGCTTTGAATTTTGATTTTGATTCTTGTTGTTTTGCGAAAATGTAGCCGAAAACTAACGGTCTTAGAAAAAGTATAGTATAAAAAACGTTCTGTAAACTTTTTAACTCACTCGTTTATTAAACACTCGCTCCGCTCGTGTCAAATAAACTCGTGAGTTAAATGCCGTTTACCGCACTTGTTGCATAATATGCTATTACCGAACGTGTTGCATACTATAATTTTTCTACGGCCGTTAGTTTTTGGGTACATTTTCGCAAAACAAAACACCTTCGTCAAAATTCAAAGCGTGGGAAATATCTCCGAAAACATCCGATTGCTCCCAAACCCATGCGGTAAAATCCCGGAAGTCAGTTTCATTTCTCACTTTGGACATTTCCGGGATATTACCGCACGGGTTTGGGATCCATTTTCGAAAATATTACCGCACGGCTAGAATTTTAACGTTTGTCAATTTTGACGGCCATGTCGGTGAATAAATTCGTGTTTTTTTGCAAAAGTTAACCAAAAACTAGCGGTCGTAGGAAAACTATAGTAAGCAACAGGTTTGTTAAACTTTGTAAGTTAATCGTTTATTAAACAATCGCTTCGCTGCGCTCCGCCACCCCAACACACCACACTTGTTTCATAATATTATTACTAATGCTTAATACTGTTAATTAGAGTATTCGTGTATACCTCAATAAAATCTGCAATGTTATTTTTTTTTGCTATCTATAATAACTGTGGCATAATAGCCAGTTTTTGACATTTTTTGTATTTTCCATAGAGTTGCAATTAAGTTATTAAAATAGCCGAAAATAATGTGCAAATATATTTTATAATCCAGTATTGTGCTGAGGAGCTTTTAAATGCGTTAATTTAGACTAATTAAAACTAACTTTCCGAGATGGTATTTATTCTATTTATGCATCCTTAGGTTTCTTAAATTCATGGTTAAAAATTTTACATTTTCCATTATTTCACACATCGTATAATCAGAAAAATATAAGACACAGCGATGAAGGGGCTAAGTTTCCATCTTCATTTTTCAAATTAGGATTGACCAAATGATTGCAAAATTAGAGCCTCTTAAAAATTACTAAAAAAATTTTGTAATAATTTTCTAGCGTTAATAAATGATATTGCTCACCAGTCTTGCACGCTGTTGAATGATTCTTCGTTTGTAATGTCGTACATTAGAATAAAACCCATAGCTCCTCTATAGTATGCGGTTGTAATCGTTCTATATCGTTCTTGTCCAGCAGTGTCCTTAAAAAATAAGTTCATACATCAACGCAAATAAATTGGTTGCCAGTTTTTTTAACCTACTAAGAATTTTATATTTGCATCCAAAATTCCAAATTTAATTTGTTTAAAAAGGGACAGAATGAAACGAATCATGTGACCTCCACCAATTGCTAAGTCTATAGCAGTATTAGGTAAACCTCATTATCAAAATTACTGAACAGAGTAAACCGCAGAACGAGGTGAAGGTAAACACCAATCCACAACGCAATGAAGGATCAGGGAAGAGCAAAAAACTCTGTAAATTTTTTAAAACCCTCTGGTGTATTAACCAATTTCTCAGAAAAAGTTCTACTCGCCAAACACATCGAAGGGGAAAATACGGACCGCTTTCATTCTCAGCGCTATCGATTTTATTTGCCGGACCGGCAGAGTTTTTCCTTAACGCTTTTAGACGTCAAAATATTATGTTCCCGAGCAAGGTCATTTTAAATATTAAAGAGTAAATGCTAGCTTATCGTTTTATCGCGATGTGTGGAAGAAAGCGTTTGAATGTCTTATTCGTCTGATCTTTTTAGACATTTCCGAAAGGCGACATGACTATCCTACCACAAACAAAATCGAAGCGACGAAGAATATTATGCCTTTTTATAATTTATTTTCTGAATATTGTATTTTTAGAATGTTAATTCAAAGCGTGGGAAATAAGGAAACTATGTGCAGAATGGACCAAATTAGACAATTTTAATGGGAAACTCCCTTTTCCATAGGAGACAAACGAAAACTAAAATCAGTTTTTGGACTTCTCTTTTCATGAACAACATAATAGTATTCTTCGCAAATAGATATATACATATATAATATATATATATATATATATATATATATATATATATATATATATATATATATATATATATATATATATATATATATATATATATATATATAAATAAATATATATATATATATATATATATATATATATATATATATATATATATATATATATATATATATATATATATATATATATATATATATATATATATATATAAAATTCTTAATGACTTAATATTTCTAATAGTTTATAGATCAGAACCCTAAATCAATTATATATGAGACTGAGACACTGATAGTTTTCTGGTGCTTTAACACATTCTTCTTCTTCTCGTTCCTTATCCTAACGGAGGTTGGATATTATCATTGCGATCCCAATCTTGTTAACAGCTGCTCTGAATAGTGGGTTTGATGTCGTTCCAAACCATTTTCTTAAGTTTTTGAGCCAAGAGGTTCTTCTTCTCCCTTGACTCCTTCTGCCCTGATGTGAAATTTAGACCCTCTGATCACGTGGCCAAAGTAGTCCAAGTTTATTCTTTAAGAGTTAATTACTTCCTCCTATTTCTGGATTCTCTTCAGCAGTTCCAGATTGGAAATCCTGTCAGTCCATGATATTTTTAACATTCGCCGATAACACCATCTTTCAAAAGCTCCGATCTTGTCCATATCTACCTTTTTCAGTGTCCATGCTTCTGACCCGTAAAGTAATGTTGAATAAACGTAGCATCGAAGCATTATTATTCTTAATCCGGAATTTATATATCTGCTGCAAAGAAACTTTTTGATCTTTACAAATGCACTTCTGGCTACCTCTATGCGACTTTTGATTTCATGAGGCTGCTCCATTGTTTCGTGTAGCCATGTTCCTAAGCATTTGTATTTTCTTACTCTTTGCATCGTTGTGTTGTCTATAGTAAGAATTCTTTGTAATAATCATGTATTTAGTTTTCTTAAGCTCCAAGCTTGTCTGAACTATAATTTTGTCGTCCGCATAACGTAAGGTGTTTAATATCTGTCCGTTTATGGTAACACCCTCCTGAGTCACTGAAAATTTTCTCACTATATACATCAAAGCGTAGCGTAGAAAGAATACAGCCCTGACGCGCGCCTCGCAGAATCTCCGCTTCATCTGCAAGCTGATCTTCAATTCTGACTCTGGCTGTTTGGTTCCAGTAAAGATTCGTTATGATTCTGTTATCCCGACTATCAATATTCATGTTGTGTAATATTTCTATAAGTTTTTGGTATTCAAATTTATCAAACGCCTCTCTAAAATCATTAAAACAGGCATTGACATCTTGGTTCATGTCGAGACATCGTTGCACTAACACATTTATACCAAACAGAGCCTCTCTAGTCCCCATGCCCTTTATAAAGCGTAATTGGCTATCTCTGATTTCGAAGACTTCTATGATTCTTAAAAACACCTTCAAAGTGTGACTCATAACGACTATTGTTCGATGATCGGAACATTCTGTAGTATTTTCTTTCTTAGGTAACGTTATAAATGTAGTTGAACCCCGCTGTCTTGGAATAACTTCGCTTGAGTATATGATATTAAAGAGATTTACGAGATTTATCATTGTGTCTTCATCTATAGTTTTACCAGATTGAACAAATGTAATTGTCAATTTGCGAATTTGGTTATTTGATTTTTAGTCATTTAAATAAATGCCATTTTTGTTGTTATATGAAAGCCGAGAAGAACGCAGAGATAGCAAGAAATTTTTACTATGACCAATATCCTAACACATTGACAGAAGATTGGAAAACGCGGCCAACCCCCTTTGATTTACAAGAGATAATGGCTTTATGAGCCGTTAAAAATAAAATGTCAACTCACTCTAGCAAGAAGTAATGTTAGATAAATAAAAAAACAAATACACGGCACACAGTACCAAAAAAGTTCTTGGTAGAAGTATAGTTTGCTTTCCCGCGTTTCATTCAAATTAATTTGAATGGTTAAACCAAAACCTAGCGTATTCACAGCTAAAATCGATTACGATCGCATCTCTCAAAGTCCACTTGCTCAAAGTTCGCGACCTCTAATTCTTCCAAGAAGATTCGAGCAAAATATCATATGGGAAGATAATTTTAAGTTCTCTTCATTGTTTCAAAATTGCATGGTGGTCCATATAAAAAAATTGTCTGTGTTACAATTTTTTTTCCTTCTAGAATAATTAAAGAAATTAATGGAGTTACGGTGAGGTTTACCGGTCGGAAAAATGCATAAACTGACTCTCACTGCAATGCAATGAAATCAATTTCAAACAATGAAAGTGTCTTAAGTATTCGTGGGGTCACTCTGTAATTCCATGAACCTAATGCGGTTTTATGACTCTAAACGTTGCTGAAATAGGTGATACATGAGTGAATGACTTAAAATGGTTATTAAAAACCGTAACTAATATCTACCAAACTGTTTCCGAAATTAAATTACATAACTTACAAATCGCTGCCTCTACTGTTAGGAATTTACGAAATGATTTAAAAAAATATAGTTGTCCTTCTCAGTTCGATCGATTGCAAAAATGAAAGAAATTGTATAGGAAGCAAAGAAGAACTTGCTAATTGGATTCGTAACATCTGTACAGCAGGATTATGATCATCAGGAGAAGCATTACTGAGACGAAAACTGACAACCTGTCAGTCCTACAATCTATGGGAAAATGATCCTTCATCAGTATTTAATTAATATACCGATATATCAAGTGCGAGAAAATGACTCCTAGGTTTTAAAGGAATAGCAGGAATAGCGAAAAGATGGAAAATGTTACAGCATTGCCAAATTGCATTGCATTAGCACATCCCAAAATCTTACGAAAGTCTGACAACAGCGTCCCTGTTCCTGATTTCAATATCAGGCATATCTTTGTCACACTGGAGGTTTGACCTATATACCGCAAAAATGTTTGCTAATCTGCATTTGAAAAAGATTATAGGTTACACATTACGACCATGTCTTCAGTTTTCTAACTTAAATGTTAACTAATCCTTTCTGTTTCTGCCAATTGGCCGAGACTCTATTCCTATATCCCCATATGGCATTATGACGCAGAAACCTTTGCGTTCTACAGAGTTAAGCTAAAGACGCGATTTTTTTAATAACACCAAATTCTCGTATTATCGCGCCACCCTGTATATAGAAAAGGCGACTGATTAACGTACCTGCATGCACAACACTTACCCATATCTGTAACTTCACCCTCTTGTCGTGCCTAAACACCGTTTTCACTTTAAAGTCTATCCCGACGGTACTGACGAATGCCGACGTGAAGCTGTCGTCCGCGTATCTGAACAAAAATGAAGTTTTGCCCACGGAGCTATTGCCAATAATAAGCAGCTTGAACATATAATCGAAATTCTGGTCCGCCGCGTCTTTCTGCCATTTTGGATCGGTTCCAGCCATCTGAAACAAACCCCAATGAACCGAAACCCTTATGATTGCAACCCATGAACGATATTTAATTGGCTTGCCAGTTACAGTATAAATTTTTAATGTAATTTATGTATTATTTTTTAGTACGAATTAGAAGACACGTAAATTAATACCAAATAAGCTCATAATGTTGATATGTCCATTTTTCGTCGGGACCAAACTATAGCACTATGGTACATTAGTTTTATTGGGACGTGAACAGAATCTTCGGTAAGAAAAACAACTACATAGTAGGAGGTTAGGAAAACGCTTCTGGTATTTTGATTAAACGATTGGATGAACCAGGAATGACCAAGAGTGAGCAAGTCATGAAAATAAATAAACTTGGAGTCAGAATCAGAATCTTTGCAAAATGTTTAAGAATTTAGCTCAAAAATAAAATCCAAGAAATCAATAAGGAAACACCTGCTTGTTAAAGGGCAATGACTCAATGCTTGAATAGTTTAATTGGTTTATGGCACGATCTTTGGCCTCAATGCTAGGCAACAAGATGGAAGAACACAGAGAACTAGTAACAACATCACCGTTTGCATTTTTCTTTACTCTTTTCAAATTTTCAGATAACTAAATCGTAGGACATTGGAAACAAGTAAACAAAAGTAGTTGACTGTTTTCAGAAGTTCATACACATCTTCTGAAACAAGAAATTTTAAATTACGAGCGTTTATTATTTATCGAACAAACTACAAAGTACAAAATACAAAAGACATGAGTGTTTGAGGTCAAAGATATAAAAATATATTCAATAAATGCCGGTGTATAGCATTGTTGAGCAACGCAAGTTCTCTTCTACCTACACGGCAAAAGTACTTACAAAACTTTTGACCATGATTAACTGAAAACAATCAATATATGGCAGTTTGCTTGACTAATTTAAACAGCTGAAGAAAAAATATGTTTAGGTATTGTTAAGAATTTCACTCGTCTAGCCAAAGTTCTCAAAGCTTTTTTTATGGTATTTCCATGAAGATAATCCCATTGAATTTTCAAGCACAATAAGAAATTTTTCGTCAAGTGTTATTTTGCAATAACGTCACAAATTATGACCATAGTATTATTAAAAGAAATACACGAGGCACTCACGCTGTGGTCTGTAAAATATCCTAAAGGAATCTCGACCCAAGAAAGGAACCTAGAACGCTGCTTCCTCAGTTCACCGTGGCCACCTTCACCGCTTTCACCTGACAATGTAAAACCTAATATAACCAAAGTTTAAGACTTTTCGAACTACCCCGTATTATCACTGATAAAATTAGCTCGTTAATGATTAAAACTTGTATAAGCTCATTCCGATTCGTCCTTTTCCCGCTAATAACAAAAAGGCCTTGATCACTATTTTTAACGCGAATTTTCTCGACACGGGGCTACTCTTCAATCACTGCCGATCCAATTTTAGTCTAAATTTTAATTAAAAGTATTTTTAGTCATTTCGTTACCTGCTTTCGGCATGCTATTACGCGCGGCTGGATAGTGAAACTTTTAAACCGTGTCACCTTAAAAGAGACGACAACTCGAATGTTGTATTCCGACCGATGCTCCTATTCGTATGCTAATTAAATTGATAAAAAGTACGTTATCGGGGTTTCGCTTCCGAATAATAAGAGCGCGTATTGTTCAACAACCAAATTAACACTGCGAGCAAATACTAGGACGTTACTGATATAAACTAACTAACCAAAACTAAGACTGCAATTTAGATTTGTCAACAGTAACTCAACGTTTCTCAAAAATCATTGAATTTGTTCGAAATATTTGAAGCTGACATTACATTGTGGACTTCCAATGAGAGTTATAAGGAAAATGGAGAGTATTTCAAACAAACGAAATGAAATGGTCTCTGAATATAATCAGTGTTTGACGAAAAACAAAGAGAACAGTTTCAATACTTGCTGCAAGTTGTCAAAGAACATTATAATTATTAAATTTATATTTTTCTATTAATACTGTATTAAAGTAAAAAATTTCATATGGTGGAACAGAATTCTTTTTCTATCAACGTATTTATTGATATTCTTTGAATAAAGAACTTTTTTTTTTGAATTAGATAATAAATAATCTTAAAATTTACTAATTCAATGAGTAAATTGAAAATATTTATTAACAAATATGAATATAAGTACCTTTCATGAATCGAGTTATCCATAAAACACAAGAGACCTTTCTTGTAGAGCATTAAATTTCCTATAAGAATAATTGAAAACATTTCACGATAATTATTTTTCAAAAAGAAAATCTTTTTTTTTTACCAACGCTAGTCAAAATGCTATAATTATAATATTGTTCTAGTAAATAGTCTAAAGTACTCAATTCTGCATGAATCAAGCTTGCAGAAAGTGTAATTTTAAGCCACTTCGTTCGTTACCCCTTTCCTTATGTTTTGAAACTATCGGTTGTGTTCGGTGGATTTTAACCAGGGATGATATTTTGGCATGTGCCAGTTCTAATAGTGATATTGCTCAGTAAATAGTCGATAAACTTCCTTAGTCACTTCTCTATTAAGCATTCGCTCAGCTCGTGCTAAATCAAACTTATAGTTCAAAATTCAAAAAAATTTCACCCGTGCTATATTATAAAGAGTATCGAATTTATATACAAAATTTGGACAAAGGCCATATATCTCAACAATTATTAGATCCAGTTTGGAATTAGGCTGACTTCAAAGGTGACATATGCGATATGGCCACATTTATGATCTTTTCCATAAGCTACCGAACTTTCTTATTTCAAATAGAAATACCATATTTTAGTTTTTTATGCCTTAAAGTGCTAAGTATTTTCCGAGTAACATTCACAATCAACTGTTTTTCAGGAATGACAAGAAATGAAAATAATTAATGATTTAATGAATTGGTAAACTTAAATTACAGTAAAAACTATTCAAAAACAAAGAATTAGGTAGTTGACAACGGCAAATGGTGAATCTACTTTGCGCAAAAAAGCTGTTGAAGCGCTATTAGAGAAGTGGCTGAACACGTCCACATCTCTATTGGTGCGTGCCATGCAATTTTTTCCGAAGTTTTCGGCATGAAACGTGTAGCACCAAAATTGGTTCCGAAACTGTTTAATTTTGAACAAAAGGACTGCCGGAGCATCACTCACAAGCTGTTAAACGACGTCAATGATGATCTCGATACCATCAAAAAAGTTATTAACTTGTGTCCCAATGGAAGGACCCAGAGTCACTAAGACCCAAGTTCGATCAAATGTCAAGGTTTTGCTTACTGTTTTACTTGATTATCGTGGCGTAGCACATTAAGATCGTACGGTCAATAAAGAGTATTACCTTGAAGTTATGCGCCGTTTATGAAGAAAAGTCAGGACTTGTGGGAAAACAATGCATGGATTTTGCATCACAATAATGCACCTACTCACTCATCGTTGCTTGTGTCTAATTTTTGGCCAAAAATAAAAAACGATCATGCTTCAGCCACCATATTCACCGGATATGGATGGCTCCCTGTTCCCAAAACTCAAGAAACCCATGAAAGGTAAGAGGTTTGGAAAGGGTAACTTTGAAGAGGAAATATTAATTTTGATTAATATAGATACTTTTTGATAAATCTTAAAAGTCAGCTTGCTTTTGACCACATCTCATATAAATGAATTTTAGTCTATCTAATATCAAATAGGTTGTTCCTGTTAAAATACTTCAATTACATTAATCAATTATCAGTGAATTTTTACAAAAATCTTAATCGGGTTAAGTAAACTTAGTTTTGATTATTTATAAATTCGACTGTTGAATAGAAAGTATTTTTATTGAAGGCAAACTTTTCTCCAGCCGAGAAAGTAAACCATTCAGGAGAAACTTTAACCGACCAGGCAAGTTTTGAGCCGACGCTTTTGAAGCAGGATGTTATCGGCTGCATCAAAGGATGTTTACCGCTATGCCGAACTTTTTCAATGATCTTGCACTGCTTTTTTTCACCAGTCTGACGCTTTATATGGAACCTCGAAAACAATACTCTATGAAACCTATCCAGACATCCTCATTCTATTAAAAGCATATTTTGTACAATAATGTGCTACATTAACTTCAATAATACTTTGTGACGTATTCGTTTCGTTTATTTTAGATAAAATAAAAAAAATATTAAGCCAAATAGCAAACTCGTCAAGCAAAATTCCAAATTTTGTACGCAATTAAAATTGCTCGTCCCAAGAACACTTCAAGGAAATAAAGTTGTTAATTAAAATTTTATATCCAATATTTTCAGTTACTATTCATTATTCAATAACTCTGATATGGTTTTTGCATTTTTTTCTTCTTTTTAGGTTTTTATTTACTCATCACTTAGACCAATATAACTAATATATACCTTGTTGAAATGAATTGTGCAACATTTCGGATAGATGAATTGCTGTCCGTCATCAAGTGTAAACCCATTAAAGTAAATAATATAGACCTAATATATATTCCACGGTAATAAACTCGTCAAGTGTTGGACGACAATGCAACTGCTGGGTTTCTCAATCAGAATAATACATAAATAGATGCACAAGGTGCACCGTTTGTGGAATAAATTCCAAAATCATAAAAAAAACGAAAATTATGTCTTTTAGTAGTGACCTAAATCGAGAGTAACCTCCGTCGGATAGGACGGGGTTATTGGGCAATATAAGTCATCCTACGTAAACAAACATTAATACCTCCCATAAATCTATAAGCAATTTGGGAGATTATTGCATTTACTAAAGTGACAATCACTGAATAAAATTTCTGCAACATAGAGCTAGTTTTTTGGTTCAAGGCTTTATTGGTTATATGCGACCCAACGTCGCACGAGCCACAACAAACGAGATGTTGTCAACAGATTTTGAAAATCCAGAAAAACTTACCTGTTTTTAGCGAATGATCGTCAACGATACCACTCACTATCTAATTACAACGGATATTTTATAAGATAACGGGAGAGTAAAAGATGTAACTGAACTGTCGTTTTGCCTGGTTCTCGTGCTGAAATCGATCAGCTGGCTGAAAGCACAATCCTCGCTAGTCCCGAGGACCACTCACGGGCGTATTAGAAAATCGATAATGGTGTCACGGAAACCTTGATAGCAATGTGAGTGCCCGAAACGCGCCATATTTGAAATTTTGTTGCGTCTATTTGGATTCGATAGGTCGAAGAGAATGATGGCGCGATGCTTCCTGTAGGTAGCGCTGAACTGCACCAAACAAGCTGCCCTAAGTGCAAAATTTGAGGTTTGGAAGAAATTATTTTGAAAGGAACCTACATATTTGTGGAAAGATATATTTGAAACAATAATAAATATGTAAAATTAATTTTTGTTATATATTTTTATAAAAATTACAACATATGGCCCCATCGAACCTCTTTGTTATATAAAATAAAGAATTGCAAAACAAGTAGATCAATTGGGGTTCTCAAGGCTGTACAAATTAGTGCCAAATCGATTAAATGGCGTGACGCGTACTTTTTCGCATCTAATGTCAATAATATTCAAGAAATGCAAAAATAGTCAGATATCTGAATAGGACAGGATGTCGGATTAGCTAGTTAAAGCAATTTAATACTCTTCACACAGAAACTGGAATATTCCTAAGGCCAGTCGAGCAGGTAACGCCATCTGTAACTAAAGCCGAGCACCGTATAAGCAGGAATCAATTCCTTGTGTCTGGTTATCGATTACCCGTTTTGTTTTGACTGGAGAGGTCGTAGGCATGTCTTGAAATTGATATGCAAAACTCTTATTTTATTTAGAGTACACTAACTGAATTTTCTATTATCAACTCATATATCAACGCCATTTCGGGTGATTAACAGGAAAACACAATGTTAATGGATTTTTTTTTATTTCAAAAAGGATAGCACTATAGCACTGTTGTTTAAAAAGTAAACGCTTTGTATACATTTTAGCTTGGATTCTATAAAAACGTGATCAAAATTTTTTGTGAAAAATAGAAAAAAAAATCGCTTAGAAATTTGTTACTAATATATTTTTAACCGTGCAGTGTTGGCAAAGATATAAAATTAGCAACCAAAAACTATAAAGTCCAAATATACTAAATTTTTGGAATTGATATTGCCAATCGTCTCCAATAATTAGCGCACTTAATGCATTTTAAAATAATTTTATTTATTGAACTAACAAACAATCACTACATCGTTAAATTGTGGTGTTCAAATGAGGTCAATATTCGCCATCAAGCTTGCTGTGAATTAAGCTGTCAGTTTCTAGGTATAATTTTTATGTGGCATATATTTTTTGTGGGCATATTGTGTTTTTCTAAAACTATATAGATATGTTTTGTGATTACTATTTCACAGCCAGATATAATATTAGTGCATGCAAAACAATATTTCACAATATGAAAATTTTTGGGTATTTTATCAATTTGTTTATATTTGCCTATTTCCTATGTTTTTTTTCTGCGATTGTAGAATTTTGACATTCAATTTTTATGCGTATTTGTTATTTCATATACAGGCTGTTCAAGTTTAGTTCACGAAATAGTTATTTCTTTATAGCTCAATCGGTTTTTGAAATATTAACATGAAAACGTAGGTAAGTGAGTTTTCCTAGATTGAAATTGTTCATCGTATATGTAGACGGCGCTAGTTACACTCAAAAATCTCGTTATTTTATGACATAATGTTAGTGCTGTTTTGTTGTTTCTTTTTGTTAAAATTGCGATAGAGTACGATAAATAATAAAATACTATACTGCAATAACCTGCAAAAAATGAAGTTCTTTTGGATATTTCCATAAGTGGTAGGATTACTTTTTGACATATCTCAATAAAATTTTATTATTCAGAATAATCCCGCTTTCAATTGATCAGAAATAAGTAAACCCAGTTTGACCCACACTGTACAAATAAATTGTAACAACAATAACAAATATAAGTTCATTTACTGCCTTAAAAGAAATACTTTTTAAATTTATTGTAAATAAACAAAAAATAATCGCAGAATCGAAGGTATTTTTATTGTACGCTAATAAATTACCTATTTAGAAATTATTATAATTTACGATTAATAGACTAACAATTCTATCCGTTAATATTCTATAATATTATTATATTATAATTTACCTATTGGTTAAGATTTTAAATTTAGTTTTAATAAGGAGATATTAAATTGTTTTATTTTCTCTTAGTCTACCACACACACGTTATAACCAAATTGTCAATTTGTTTTTTTTTTAAATTAATTACTTTGTTCAATTTTGTTAAAAATTTTGAAAATAATTCTGAATAAAACTGAACCATTGAAATTTTGAAATTTACCCACAGTACGGTAATCAAAATAATCAAAAAAGTCACAAAATTCTTAATATTATGAGAATTAAAACAGAAATCTCGTTATTTGAATATTTCGCGAAATAAATTTGGTTGGGTATTTGCAGTATTCGCTAGCTTTGTTTAGGACGATGTGGTAATTGTATTTGTAATCTTAACTCGTGTGCAGCATGTAAAGATATATTAAAATATAACATCTTCAACGCATTTCATATTCTTACTATTTTCCATTTTATAGGAGTACGTTTAAAATTATAGCCAAACAAAAAGGAAAAGTTCAACGACTCCTCTCCTACTGTTAAAAATTCTCGCAAAATGTTCGCCGAGTTTCGAAAATTTATCGCGGCTTTTAATGAAGAATTATTACGACGAGATTATTTACGACGTTAGTTTTAGGTATTTGAGAGCATGACGCTGCTGTGAATGAAATGAAAGTAGACAAGTACGAAACTTGTTATTGATCTAGTAGGATAATCTAGCAGACGTTGCTCGATGGCTCGAAAGGCAAATCCGTATTTAATTCCGTCAGCGGTGGTATAAAATTTACTCAGTTTTGGTGTTTATGGCGGGCGATTTAAGACTTGCAGCGGAAATTGTACTTTCTTTTGGGATAGCAGTTCTTTTTGTCCCGAATTATTTCTTAAATTAAGCACATCTTATACCTAACTGGTCCCCAACATTTTTTATTATTTCTTAATTCTTTCATTGTCATTTAAAAATTTTGGTTTTTATGGCGGGGGATTTAAGGCTTGCAGTGGAAATTGTACTTTCTTTTGGGATGGCAGTTCTTTTTGTCCCGAATTGTTTCTTAAACTAAGCACATCTTATACCTAACTTTTGCCGAACATTTTTTATTATTTCTTAATTCTTTCCTTGTCTTTTTAAAAATTCTCTTTTGTCTCTCTCTGTGTCCTTCATTTACCTATGCCTCTGTCTACTCAATTAATTTTTTTTGTTTCTATCTTAAATTTGAAATTTAAATCGACGAACAACATGTTTGCCTATGTAATGTGGTTTTTTATCTCTGACTTTCTCAGCACTCGTTGTCACTGAGTATGAGTTTGTTGGAGTTCCAAAACAAAGGCTTGATTGTATCTGATTGATTTGACATTATTACATTTTGCAACAAGTCTGATAAACGTCATTTTAGTGACTAGTTTGTTTTCTGAAGACGTTTATAAATTTTTTCCAGGACCATTAGTTTTTGGGTATGTTTTTAGAAAATAGCACGATAACATTCATTGAGTTACATGTCCATCAGAACTGATAAATGCGAAAATATCGTCAGTGGCTGCAATCTATCGAAAACACCCGACCGCATCAAAACCCGTGGTTAAGGAATCTAAAATATCCGAATAAAGTGAAATTCTCCGTAGGTTTGAACGCTGGAACGCTGGTTTTGGAGCAGGCAGCAAAAAAAACTCTCCTAACAATCATTTTTGAAACATATTTCCAGATGTCTACGAGGAAACTGTATTTTGCCTGTTGCATTTGTTTTACAATTATAAATAAATATTATGCATTATTATTATTAAACAATTATGTTAGACATTAGACAATTTTTTCGACTTTAAAATACCCAAAGGATAATATAAAAAAAATTAAACGACATTTATTCAGATAAACCATTAGTATAAGTTGTAACATATTACACGCTACAATTTTTGACTCCAAATTTATAACTGAACCAGCGAAGTTCATCTTCATTTTGAAAGAAACGAAATATAGTGGAAAAATTATTTAAGATACAGAAAATTGCTAACAATGTTCTTTTATAAGCCATTTTGGGCTGCAATTCTGCAGATACGTTATTATCGAAGCTGCCTTCCAAAGTTGCTATTGTACGAGAAGGAGTTGTAATAACCCCACTAATAGAGTAAACAAGCGTACAATTATAAATTAAGAAAATATTGCAATTGGCTAACCAAGCAATCAAAGTTTAATAAGCATTACAAGAAACAAAAGAGATAGAGACGGCATAATAATTTCATAGATAAAAAAGTATACTATCAAACATGTGGGCGGAACTAACTCATCAATGTTGTCACAGTAGTAGTTCATTTCTATAGTTACTTTGGATACTCTCCACCAGTATTCAAAATAATTGATCGATGTTAAAATTTAATATTATAAAAAAAAAAAGAAAATTTATTCATTTCCTTTTTAGATTGTGTAATATACACGGAATCTTACGCATACGATAAGGCGACGTTTTATATTTAAAATGACGAAATATAAGATTTTTCAAAATTAGTCTTAACCAAGATTTTTTTGTATTGCGACAGTACTCCAGGACATCTAAACAGGGCATATCAGCGCTACTATACAAATTGAAATGGAATGAAGCTAAAGTATTACACAGTAACTAGCTAACCACTAAGTTTTTTGCATTTTTTGTTATTTACTTTCAATAAGCCGGTTTTGAGTTGTTTACATATCTGGCGGAAACATAAAAACATAAAAACATTTATTACAGAAAGCGAAATAAAGTTTTATTCGAACTGGCAGATACAAATGCTGGAATAATTAAGAGCACATTTTACAATATGACAATCAAATAAATAGGGCTTTTGATGCGGTATCAGCGATGCGTTATCTTCGCTTAGCTTTGGGCTTCGTCTGCAGTCTGGGACATATAACTAACGTCATTTATCTTTTGAGGACTTTAACTTAACCTGTGACGAAATAATTTTCGCAAAAAACGTTTTTTTTTTCATTTTGAACACTTAAAA